ACCAAGTTTATTTCAGGCAGACCGTGATAACAGCAACATTCTGCAAAGAACCTGCTATATGATGATGATGATATGGCATTGCTTTAAAGTAGTATGACACTCATATCGTTTTTCAAATTTAAACAACTCATCTATATATATATAAAAATCAATGTTTGTGTGTTTGTTTGCCCCTTATAGACTCGGAAACTACTGAACCGATTTAGCTGAAATTTTCAGGATATGTTTGTTTTGATACCGGATGTTGAACCATCATGGTTTGAAATTCAACCTGTCACTGTTAGAAATAGGTGACCACAATTTAAGCCATAATATTCGAAACTAATATTTATAATTTTAGTGATTTCTAATTATAGCCACGTTAGTAATTGCGCATGCGCCGTAGTCAGAACGCAAGGCTTCCACCAGTCGCCGGCGAGTTACGTGCAACCAACGCCTTCTCTAATACATAGAGTAGGTCGTGGTACAGCAAACAAGACTATCTCTATATTTGCCACAATAACCATATTAAACACGATTTCTATTTTCTGGTTTTTTTTTTTCAAACAACCTTTGATGGGGGGGGGGGGGGGGGGTGGGATCAAGGACTATCTCGACGTCGGCGCAGACATTGACTGCGACATTAACTTCATTAACCGTGTTAGATACGTGCGATTTCTATTGTTGTGCCGTTTCATTAATATATCTGGAGTATCTGTCTACGAGAAAACAACTGCCTGCGGTTTTGAGTTGTGTTATAATCGGGACACAGTAGTAGGGACACACATCTCTAATAGTTAAGTTCTCTTTTCGTTGATCCGATTAAGTGGCTGCTTGGTCGAATGGTTATAACACTGGGTTCCTGTGCGGAAGACCAGGGTTCGAATCCGCAGTAGTTAAATTTTTTTTTACCCCGGACTAAAATAATATCCTCATCTGCTCTGTCGTGGTTAGAGCACTAGCCATGTGGCCATTAATAAAAAAAAAAAAAAAAAAAAAAAGGACAGGTATGTGGGTAAACCAGTTGATAATTAAATTTGACTATTTCGCATACTTATGATTTCATTTTTAAACTTTGCGATTGCATGGTTATGCTGACATTTCATAGCTTTCCTTACATTTATTTTCGTTTAGATTTAATTATTTCATCTGCGTTGGAATTTTAAGCTGTGCTGTTTACCATAGCGTTCATTTCCTAATTATGGTGTTTTTTCCTGTGTTCATCCGCTTTTCAAGTGTTTTTTTTCTCCCAACTACTTCAATGAGGGAAAGAGTTGTCGGTGAATTTAGGGGGGGGGGGGGGGCACACTATTAACTGAGAGAGCTTTAAGTCACAGTAACTGCTTTACCCACTCAAAGTAGCAGCAGCAGTAATAGTTGTGGTTGGGCTGTTACACCGTAGTGCGCTCATGTGGAGACCGCCGGTAAGGTTATGGCGTTCTTCTGTCGGGAAGCGAAATTATACATCCTAACCTGACCAGTCTGTGGCGACAGCACTAGCCATGCGGCACCAAATCTTCTGGCTCACGACTCCCTGTCTACTCCGATGGTAAAACAGATATCAGTGACATTGTTTTAGCTACTGTGGTGGTGGTGGTCGTGGTAGTAGTTGTACTGGTACTTGAAAGATGATGTGGTAAATATTATTACACAAGCCCCATTCACTACCTATTACAATTCCTGCTCCCCATTTTAGTCTGGATGGACTGGGATGTCAATGTCAGTTGCAACAACAACAAAATATCGCCAGGTGATGATTTTCAAATCTTTCGGAGAGGGAGAGAGAGCAGTAGTTGGTAGAAGAGGGGAGGGGGTAATGACTAAAATTTAAGAGAACTTAAAGAGCTTTACACGTTATTTTCAAGTTCTCATTACTTAATTTGTTTATATTTTACTAATGCTACCTCCGCTTTGTTATTTTTTTACGACTTACTTTGTTATTTACAAGTACAGTTGTAGCTTTACTTCCGTCTCCTATAAAAATACAAACAGCTTTAGCATGTGATAACCAAATACCCATTTTTGTTACTGTGCTAATAACACCATTTAAACAACCACTAATATAAAGACACAATTATAAGGTGCGTGTTCTAAAGTTGGAAAACCAGACTATTTCTATATCTGTGCAGAGAATGATTGCGACATTAACTATATTAGACACGTGCGATTACCATTGTCTTTCTTTTCCAAAAACCTTTGATGAGGGAGAGAGTAGTAGGTGGATTTAGTTGTGGTGGGGTGGGGTCAAAGATTATCTCTATATCTTAGCAGACAATGATTGTATAAGACAAGTGCGATTTCTATTTTCTTTTATTTCCTTTTAGCCAAACTATGCCACAGCAACTCGTGGCCGGGTACAGCTAGTACTGTTAATAAAATCTACAGAACTCATATCAATATTAAAATTTATACAACCGATAGTGACATTAAAATCAATGATACTCATACTGCTATTAATATCAATCAATTTGTTCAAGTCATCTGCTGAATAAAGAATCGACATCACAGAACCTGGGACACTCCCATTAGCACTCTGTCTCCATCTTCAGCAGCAAGCAAAGAGTTCCTATTCTGACGGTACCAGTAATTGTTTGATTGCATATCCATCTTCCCCTTTCCTTGAGTGCTGAGTGTCGGCCAGATCCCCTGGTAATTCCCCGCAGCGCCATTCTCTTCAGACCGTATTTGTGCTTACTCACTGTTCCCTCGCTCCCAAGGAGCCCTCACAACATCTTGCTTGTCATAGAACAATCCACCACCAAGTGGAGCAGAGCTGGCCAGTCTATCCGCCTCCTCATTTCCCAACACACCGGCATAACCTGGAGAAAATATCTAAAGGACGCTAACTACCCCAGACCTCTGAAGTTATGCTTGCCACTCTACACGAAGCATGCCTGTCTCCACCTTTCTCAACATGCTCTGTGAGTCAGTTAAAATCACGGCTGATTCTCAAGCTTGCGGAAGGCAGCAGTGACTGCCTCCACCTCTATTCTCAAACTAAATGGTGTAATGCTCATTCCAAACAATACATTGCATAATGTATTGCCAGGCATATTTTACTGTATCTCGTCAGGTGTGTTACTCAGAGTTACATCAACACAAAATGAAGCACACACACTGAAAAAACTAAATAAACCCAACTGAAATGCAAATCGCTTCTTTTGATGCATCATGTTTATCTAGTCGCAGGAAGTTCATGCAGTCTCGTGACTTATCAACGTAACTTTGAATTTCTACAATATTGTCAACCCCTCCCCCCCCCCCTTTTTTTTTTACATCAGTGGTGCATCAGGCACATGATGGGTTATGTGGTCAATATCACACCAGCCTCTTTTACTTCCCAGGACTGCATCTGGTACCAATTTTTGGCTGGGTTGACCAGGCAGCTACGATCATGGGGCGGGGAGTGGGCGCCCACTATGCAGATTTAAACCCACAACCTCCAGACCTGCAGGGAGGCCTCTAGCCGCTATGCCACCCTGGCTCTCAGTTTACTTTCACCATGATATAAATATACAGAAGTAGCTTATTATCTTTAGTGATAGAAATGAGTACCGGATAGTTAAGTGGTTAGGGTGCTGGGCTCATGCAGAGGGCTCCCGTTCTCTTTTTCCTTCATCCAAGCAATGTAACTGCGTTTGACCTGTTTACAGCAAAGCTGCAATATTTGGCACCTTTTGGCCGACACATCCTACTTCATTGAGCATTTCCTGACCAAGTTAATTCCCCGCGTAGTTTCGAGGGGCAGGCAAATGACAGCCTTATTTGTGTGGTCTTCTCTTGGCACCATTATCTACAAACCCTGGAGACCCTGTCCAGGTCAACTGTGTATAGACTGGTCTGCCCTCAAAGGAAGAAAGGCAACAGCAGATTATGGGCATTCTCTGCCATCCAAGGTGGGACACATGATGCTCTGGTCCTAGGCTTCCCAAGGAATCATCACAGCATGCAGTGGGTTCAAATTCATATGTCGAACCTCCCATTCGTCATGTGCTGTGCTCTCCAGAGATCAACAAGAAGCTGCCCGCAGAACCAGGACTTCAATGACCACAAAAAAAAGTATATTCTTCTTCAGCACCTTCAACGTTGATTTTTTATGTGAACGCTTGTCATGTCTGTGCTGAGATACCATGCATCAGGAATGGCTTCCCGGTTGAGTCTCAACATTCTGACGAGTGAGACCAATGTTAGCAGACATCTTACCCTATCTTCCGGAACTTTTTGGGGTGAGACATTAGAGACATTGCTGTTTTGCCATAGGACATCCATCTGACTGACTTATCACCTGGCTTACAGGGGCAGATTGTCTTTTACCTCTATGTGATGTCGACAATGTTGGTGACCGACAAGGATGTATGGAGACAGGACAGTAACGCAAGATATCGCCCGCATAGATGCTCGTCTAAGCTGCGAGCAAATCTCTTGGTCTAGGGCTGAGCCTCAGCAGTTCAGTGGTTCTTTGACTCGACAGATGTTTTAACAGAGAGTTGTCATTTTGTTGCGTGTTCAACCAGCAGGCATTACTCAAGTTCCAAATGAGTTTTGATATTTGTTATCACCCATGCACTGGGGGGTGGACTAATGAGACCCAGGGAATTTCTGGGAACTTCATCTCTAGGTGTCTCGACTCTGAAATCCCCTGCCAGCTCTGTTAATGTTTATATGAGACATTATTCGTGGTGCCGATGGGGACGTGTAGCAGAAGTGTTGCATGAGTTTCCGTAAAACCAGCTCAGAGCCAGCTGGCGCCTGAGGTACACATCACAACAGCCTTAACTTTCCCACACACCTGTGATCTAAATCACCACACCACAGACCCGAGTTCAATCACTAGTAAGGAATGGAGACTTTTTTCTGTCAGGAAAACAAAAAAATCCTAACTGGCATAACCTGTGGCAACAACACTAACCATGAGGTCTCAAATCTTTTGGCTCATGTCCCCGTTGACCTACATCCACCCAAAATTGGTAAACAGATGCAGTAAAGATAGTAATACAAATGTAACAGCTAAATAAACTCACCTCAAAAATTAAGTTGGCCAGAATACACTGTGTTTCATCATCATCAATATCTTCGACCTGAATGGAAGGATGTAAGCTTTTTAGAACATGCATTTAAACTCAGCCTTCAGATCCTAATGGAGTGCAATACAAAATATGACTGTTGTAAAGTGGCCATATTCTTTCAATCTTATCTATCCTCTAAGCCCCCTTTTTAACACAAATGACATCTAGAATATTTGTAGAACAGAACAAACTACAAACTATGACGTATAGAATAAGTGAGAGTGTCAATGATCAACCAATCTGTCGTAAGGTTTAAACAAAATCGTCATCTTTCCTAACCCTTAATGTAGCAGCACACTTGCCAGGAAAAACATTGAGAAGGAAGGTCGCCATCGGAGAGGTATAAAAGATGTAAGTGTAAGACTGATTAGAAAAGAAATTAATATAGTCTGTAAGATGCTTTTAGCAAAGATATAGGAATATAATTCTGTAAATAGTGAGAAAAAAATTCTTCAATACCTAAATAAGGTCTAGAAAATAAAATTGAAAAATTTATAAAGAAAGTCAGAGCGAACAAAGTGATAGTTAATAGAGTGACAGTTAACCGGTTAAGGAGATGCTGAAGAAGGGAAGATTAAGAGTGAAATGTAGATCCTTAAAATAAAATATATAATGAGTTTGACATATCTACTTGCTTCTAATAAATAGCAAAGTCATATATGTGTCAGCTGTTGAAGATGAGGAGGCCAGGTAAATAATTTTAATAATATGAACCATCTATGTTCTGTGATGTGATCACAAGAAGGAGTAGGAAGAGATGAAAAAGAAAAAGAGACGTAGAGGATGAAGAAGAAGAAGACCATAAAGAAGGAGGATGTAAAAGAAGTACAGGAGGATGAAGGAGGAGGAGAAAAAAAGAATGAGGGGAAGAAGATCTAAGAGGAGACAAAGATGGAGGAGGAGGAGGAGAAAGAGAAAACAGGAGAGGGAAGGAAGAGGGGACAAAGAAGAAGAAGACTCAGATTACACCAGTTTGCATTTTCTCTAATTCTTTCTTTCTTATAAAAACTATCTTATTCGTCTTGCCTTTTCACAATTTCTCACATAAAAAAAAATGTCGTCTGTCTGAGGCTGTATGGTGTAATTTGGTAAGAAAATAAAAAGCCATGATGAAGGCAAGATAGATGTAAAGAAGAAACAGGAAAGGTGGTGATAAATAAAGGCTATTCCAGCGAGTTGTCCTCAGCTGCTTTATAAAGGGCTTATACTTCAGACAGTGATCTATTTGTTTCCACACTGTTCACTCACTCCCAAAGATCTTGACCACATCTAGTTTGTCATTAACAATTTACCATCAAGAGGTGCAGAATCAGCCACTCTAACAATCTTTTTATGTCCCGACACACCTGAATATCCTGGAGAACATATCCAAAAGATGCTAACTACCCTGAATTTTTTAACGATGCTTGCCACTCTTCCAATGGTAGATGAAAAAGCAGAATTTAAAAAACGAAACAAAAAAAAATATTTCTGTGCAGATGCAGATGTATGTTGGCTACTGAAATCAAATGCTTGCTAACTTACCTTCATCATTTTGAGCGCCAAAGTGAATGCACTGATGTCTATTAGGTGATTCTTTGCATTGATCAAATACCTGTGGACCACCAAAGAAGACACTGTTAGCTAATAGTGACCTGAGAACAATACAACTAGAATGTACTTGCACTGGAACCCATGGGGGAAAAGAAATATAGGCAGACCAAAAAACACACTGAGAAGGGAACTAGAGATGGGCAGGACATGGCGTGAGCTGCACATAACAGTGAAGGATAGAACAACCTGGCATGAGTTGGTGGAGGACTATGGTCCACTGGGGGGGGGGAGGCGCATAAGGCAGAAGAAGAAGAAGTCTGTCACTGAAAGCTGAATGATCGATGCTCATACAATTATTGAAATCGACACAAAGTTGTCTTCTGCTAAATCGCCCTGCTTCTATTTCTTATTCGCTTTCTCTTTTCCTGCTCAAAGTGACAAGAGAGAGATATAAGGTTTTGCTTCTTGCTCTTCTGGTCGTCTCGATCATAAACAATGTTGAAGAGTTTCTTTGATGTTATCTTTCCATCTTGTTCTTGGTCTATCTTGTGCTCTATGTCCTTATCTTCTTTTGGAGTATGTCTTGTTTGGTATGGCATCGCTAGACATTCTCTCTAGGTGGGCAAACCACTTGATCTTCTGTCTTTGTATGTAATTTACAACCGATTCTGTGCCGTTTTCTCTGATGACCTCGTTTCTGATTTTATCTCTTCCTGCCAATCCTGCAGCTGAATCAAATACTAAAGATACTGTCATCATATACTGCATTCCAATGTCAGACACAATTTTCTATTGTTTTAAAGGCTCCCTCTGGTTGTTTCTAAAGGCCTTAATATAACCCAACCAATGGGTTGAGCGGAGGGAGTTTCTGGGACCAGTTCCTGGGTGATGCTCATCTAAATAGTGGCACTTTGTGTCGCAGGGTGTTTATCGCTTGCTATGATGTCCTGGGGTTGAATGCCAATCAATTAATACTAAAGATACGGAAGAAAAGTTAAATGCATTTGTAAAACAAATACCAAAGAAAATATTGAATATAAAAAAGGATGAATTCAAGAAGGGTGAAGAAATATGAGAAATGTCTGGGCAACCACTGGAAACGACAGTTATAGGACAAAGAAGACGGTGCTGCACAGGATACACCATGAGAAGAAACAAGCAGAGAATCATCAAACATGTTCTCAAATGAGAAACAGAGAGACTGAGGAAGTCACGATGAAAAATCAAACCAAAAAAGTTTGAAAAACATCATGGCACACGCTAGTAACCCATAAGTGCTCTGTTCTTCTTCGAACTCAAGTCTGAGTCCGAAGAAGCTCAGCACAGTGCACAGACTCTGTAGACTCTGGCGAGAATCCAGAAATGCTTAACAATGCACATGGGCAACCAATCTGACTACCTAGAGACCAGGGGGAATTACTAGGAGTCCAAGTCCACGTGAAAAAATCCCAGCCCTTACTGGGGATGGAGCCAGGAACCTCCAGCACTTGAGGCGAACACCATGCCTCGAAACCATGCAGCCGCCCTAAAAGCAAGATTGACGAGAGAAGCCAAAGCCGCTGGACTGGATTCCATCCATGAAAGTTGGAGGGAGTAAAAGAGACACTATAAAATTGCAATATGACATAACACAAGCTAGCAACTAACAAAAAACAGGAAACTACTCCAAACTCCTTTCTGCGATGATTTATGGCATAAGCAGTCGGAAAAAAAATAAAACCTGTATAATTTCTTTTCAATCACACAGATAAATAACCAGATATTAAAAATAAAATTCAAGGGAAATAATAGTATATATTTTTTTTTCCCTAAGGGACATTATTTAAGAAAGAATGCAAATTTTAAATTTAAATAATAACATAAGTGTGTTTTTTATAATTCAAACTTTTGCATTTCTCTTTCAGAAACAATTAAGTATAAAAGTACAACAGCTGAAAAATCATCTTTTAAAGATGTCTTAAAAATATACATTAATTATATTTTTCTTTACTTACATTGTACTTTAGTTAACTGCCCTTGTTCTTGGAGGTTTTAATATATAGTTTTCCAACATAAGTGTTTTCGTTCTTCTTCTGTTCGAGCATTAATTTGCTCAGCCCTAATTATAACTTTGCTTTATTTGCAACCATTTTTAAATGGTCAGTTTAATGAAATTACTCTTGGTCTTACAAAATGCTGTAACACCTACCTTGTAAAAGTCATCCCCAGTGTGGGGTGTAATTTTATGTTATTTGAAGCCCCACCCTGGCTTCTGCTGGGGGGTCATAAATATAGCCTAATGGCTGAAAGGGTTTTCTGGGACCTCTCCGCGGGTGATCCCCCATCGGCTTGGTGGCACTTTGTGTCACCAGGTGTTTGTCACTTGTCTGATGTGCTGGTGGGGTACAACTACCTACCTTGTAAATTAACAAGGTAGTTTTATATTCAGTAGTTTGCTACTGCTGTTTGAAATGGTCTGGGTTCCATACCATTGTAGAATGGTCGTCTGCTGCCTGCCAGTCCTTTTATCCATGGGTGACTGGATCAGGTTTTGTGAAAATGCAGACGGCTGAAAAGGCCATTCTAGCCCTGAAAGTTCATGAGCAGTGAGGACAGGGAAACTGAGGCCACATCTCTCTGGTGATTTGCTTCGGTGTCTTTCCTGGCTTGTCTTTTCTGATCGCCGCCACAAACGCTGACAAAATGTCAGTAAAATAAATTAGTAGCAGGGACAACATCATTTAAATGAATGAAAAAGTTATTCGGTGCGGAAAAGAATGAATTTAAAAACTTACACTTTCTTGAAGAGGTTTCTGTATGTAATGATTTTCAACTTCTCCAGAATGAGGTAGATGCCACAGCGGATAAAAAATGCTTCATGCTTTTGCATAGCTGCATTCAACTGTAGCAGGTTTCCAGAGCTGAAAATAGAATTATTCAACAGTCAATGTTTGAGACACCGTGTCGGATGTAGGTAGGCAGTCTGTCTCCTCTAGGAGTGCTGTCAGTAGGATTAACACCTGCTGGGAGACTCTTCCAGGTCATAAAGGTTTCTTGGCAAAAGAGAAACTGGCAAGAGGAAGAAAATGGCTGTTTACTGCTTTACCTATACACCAGTCCTGACCTACGGGTGTGAGACATGGGCAATGACAACAGCTCACAGAAACCAGCTTCAGGCCTCAGAAATGAGATATCTGAGAAAGGTGGTCCAGGTGACAAAAAGGAAACTGAGTCCGCAATCAGACAATACGTCAAGATCTTGATACCCTGCCCTTACAAACCCAAGTGGATCAGTCATAGTTACAATGGTTTGGACATGTATGCAGAATGGGAGAAAATCTGCCACCATGGCAGGCATGGGATGGTTAGAACTAGGGAACCAGACCTCCAGGGCGACCCAGGGTGTGCTGGGAAGACAACATCCAACAGTCCCTAACTGACAGAGGACAGGAATGGAACAAAGCGAGAAATAAAACTGCTGATAAAGACGTCTGGAGATCTCTCTGGCAAACCTCTACACCCCAAGGTAGAGGCATACTGAGGCACATGAATCCACTGCCTATGGTAATGGTACATGTGATTTAAAACACCTGCTCATATTAAAAAAAATAAAAGCCTTCCACAATCAGAGCATAAGAATTGAGGACCATTGTTGCTATAACATGTATTTAATATGCTTCTTCTTAATCGCTCAACTCAAGCTATGTGCAATCAATTTCTCTGTCATCACTGTTTCCTTCCCGATTTTCCCCATCCATGCATAACAGTCGATAGCATCCTGTTCCCACAAATATCAATATCACATCAATATCTGCATCATTCACGGCTCATTTTCACACACTTTGTAATCATACTTTCTTTTATATTTTACAACTTAAATATATGACTTCAAAAATAAACCTGGCCTCAAGACCAAAGTATGCAGAGCAAGCTATGGGGAACCATGAAGGACCTGCTGCTGACATACAAGTTCATAGAGTCAACTTAGCTGATGGTCGAATCTGAGCATACAAAACCAAATGCAAAGAAGAAGAAGAAGAAGAAGAAGAAGAAGAAGAAAAAAACAATGTTCACCTGACAGCTTGTGAGACATCAGAAAACTGGCGCAAGTCATATTTTCTCAACAGTTCAGCCTTTGGCATGTGGCCCTGTGAAAGGAAGGAAATGAATCAACAGTCTAATGATAAATACATGAGGTTTGAGGTATCAACAACGGATCAACATCATAGCACACGCATAGTAACCCATAAGTGCTCCGTTCTTCTAACTCAAGTCTGTAGCACCGGTGAGGATCATGAAATACTTTAGGCAGATTTTCAACTCTAAATTTTGCCCGCAGTTAGGCCTCTCTTTTCGATTTCCAACTGCTAAGGGATTTTTTTTTACGTGCGCAACAATGCACACGGGCGTCCGATCTCACTACCCAGAGACCAGGGAGAATTACTAGAAATTCAAGTTCACATGAAAAAATCCCATGATAAATATATAAATTAGCTCAACAGTGTTGCCCTGTGAACACTAAAAATACTGACCATGAATCCATGGGAAATATAAAATCACTAGGAAGCTAGAGGGTCAGTGATATCCTGTGTCCACTGTTGTAGTGTTCAACCTATGCCTCTTCTTCCAGAACCATACTTCCCATTGCTATCCCCTCCAAACCTTTGTAGCATTCAATATGGATGAAGTACAAAGTCATCAGGAATGATTGTCAAGATTTTAAACTATTATTACAGAAGAAGTATTTAATGGATATACAAGTGTAGTGTGTTACAATGTTCCGAAAAGTTTACAGTTTTAAACTTATCTTAGTTTATTTCAAAATGGGCACCGTCTTTAGCAATGATTTTGTCTAGGCAGTATTTAATCTCCGACTGAAACATCTGCAGCTCTGGTTATAACAAGAGATGTTTTTGTTTTTTAATTTGATGTCATCCCAGAAATATTGTTTTCATTCTGGGCACACACATTAGTTCTGGTATTAAATCCAGAACTTGTTCTGTCAAACTTAATGTCCCTTTTGAGTCTGCATGAGAGACAGAGTTAGAGGAAATAACTATCATTACAGGACATGAGTAGAGGAAGGCAGGAAATGTAACAACTACAATGTGAGACGAAGTCCTTCTAGACTCGACGGGAGAGTGTGTGTACAGGTGGAGGTGAGATGTTAGTTGAGTTAATTGTGTACTTAGGTTCAAGTGTCTTTGTGCATACTAGTTTACCTCAGCTCACTTTTATGTATATCACTTGATGGGAGCATTCGTTATAAATTAATACCAGAATAGGAGAAAGTCGGAGGGGTTAACTGCCTATTTAGATATTCTCTGATTAAATTAATCTTTACAGCTGTAACAGAGCGAGAGGTAGACAGCGCAGAATATGGACCACAGAAATATCGGAGACACTGAAAAGTACTTTATATGAAGCAAACAGAAGGGCCTGTTCTAGAGATCTCTTCCTGCCCTGACGCCATGAGGCATTCCAGGAGTAGAGGAAAGAAGAAGAAATAATCTTGATATCTAACTACCCTTTTCCTACTCTTGTGGATACAAGTACAGCTACTTTAATTTTATTCTACGAGCCACTTCTGCTGCTTTTGTGTGTGTGGGTTATCCAGGACTTTGTCTGGGATCAATATAGCTCAGATATTAGTCCAGGTTCTCACACGGGTGTGCAGTGTCAGGATTCAAACATAAGCACTCCCTACATAAGTGTATATCCAGGTGGGGGTAGGTGACAAGTTTCCTTAAGCATTTGTTTTTGAATGCTGTTAACATTTATTCTATGTCTTTAACTGTTCTCCAACTTTTACTGGCATTTGTGAAAGTTCCAAAGCCCTGATTTTGTCTATTTTTAGTGCTTCTATGATTCTATAATTCACATACGTATATTGCCACAGGAAAAAAAAACATACGCACCAGTAACATTTTCACCGGGACCAAGTAGATGAGGATAAGCCGCTTGTTCTTATGGCTCTCCCTGTGACACTTTTCAAAAGCAAAAGTCAAGTACTCTTCAGCTAGAAAGGAAGAAATAGCAAACTCAACTTATAAAAAAATGGCAGAGTAAATTTATCAATTTTCATGTGAACAAATTATTGCAAAAGTAATCATCCTATGGCAGATATACTAAGCAACAATACTAATTATCCATGTATCCTCAGAAATAAGACCCACCCCAAAATAAGCTCTAGCCCAATTTTGGGGATGTTTTTAATATAAGCCCTACCTTAAAAATAAGTCCCAGTTAAGCTAGAATGGAGAGACTTGCTGCCGACTGACCAGCTGGAGTACAGACACCTCAGGGGTGGACTTGTTGATGAACGGATTCAGGCCAGAATTCAAGATTTGGAGAGTTATGATGATGTAGATTTTTATTTAGAATTAAAAAAAAAATAATGCCATGAATATAGACCCAAGTACACTTTTTAAAGCAAAAATTAACATAAAATCCGTTCTTATTTTTCGGGAAACATGGTACTGAGTCACAAAACTATTTTTTAAAAATTTGTTTTTTATATGCGTATCCTTTACAAGATGTTGCAGAACCAACCCCAACAGCCAAAACTATACCATACAAAAATATATCAAAAAAGGAAAGAGCTGCAGCGGGCAAGACAAACTGAGAACAAGATAGAAAGATAACATCAAATAAACTCTACAAGAGTACAGTGTGTCTATGGTCGAGGTGGGCAGAAGAGCAAGAAGCAGAACCTTATACCTCCCTCACACCCAAAGCTGTAAAAGAGGATGGGAAGAAGAAGATAGTATCATGCAGGGTGATCCAATAACCTCCTTGCATCCTGTTCTGCCCAGAGACATTTCTGGTTCACATACTACAAGGTGGATTAACCATAAGATCATACACAGGCATAAGAAAAATCCAATCATACACCGGCTACGGGCTGACACCAGAGACTCATAAACAGGCAGCAGAAAAATACAATTATAAACCCAACGAGGACTGACACCAGAGACTCATAAACAGGCAGCAGAAAAATACAATTATAAACCCAGCGAGGACTGACACCAGAGACTCATAAACAGGCAGCAGAAAAATACAATTATAAACCCAGCGAGGACTGACACCAGAGACTCATACACAGGCAGCAGAAAAATACAATTATAAACCAAGCAAGGACTGACACCAGAGACTCATAAACAGGCAGCAGAAAAATACAATTATAAACCCAGCGAGGACTGACACCAGAGACTCATAAACAGGCAGCAGAAAAATACAATTATAAACCAAGCAAGGACTGACACCAGAGACTCATAAACAGGTAGCAGAAAAATACAATTATAAACCCAGCGAGGACTGACACCAGAGACTCATAAATAGGCAGCAGAAAAATACAATTATAAACCCAGCGAGGACTGACTCCAGAGACTAATAAACAGGTAGCAGAAAAATTCAATTATAAACCCAGCGAGGACTGACCCCACAGACTCATAAACAGGCAGCAGAAAAATAGTCAGACACCCAGTGAGGACTGATGATATAAGTTGACACATAGGCAGCATAAAAATACAGTCATGCATTCACTGAGGACTGATATTATAAACTCACACACAGGCAGCAGGAAAATATAGTCATACACCCACTGAACGCGAGAACATAGAAGGAACTGCCATATATGAAGATTCGTCACCTTTCCCTTCCAGCTTTGTAATGGTGAAAAAAGCATTCTAGCTCCAATATTGTTTGGCATATGCTTCACTGAACAACTTCGGTGTGCTTTTGGGATAACCACTGAAGGGATATATCTTCATCAAGGTCAGCTAGCAATCTCTTCAATCAGTCCAGACTTCATGCAAAGGACTAAGGTGCAGACAAGATGCCTCAGAGATTTTCTATCTGTGGATGATGCAGCCATTACTGCCATACACAAAATGATCTGCAGATTCTCATGAATCGCTTTCCAAATGCATGTTCAAAATTTGGACTGACCATCAGTCTTAACAAAACCATGTGATGGGGATGAATGTGGTAAATCAGCAAAGCGTTCATTTCTATGATCATGAGCTGTTGGTTGTACATGTGGCTGAGTACCTAGGCTCGCGAATCACAAATGATCTTTAAATAGATGTAGAATTTAACAGAGGAAAATGAAAGGCTTCTGCAGTGCTTTCCAAACAATAAAAATGTGATCAAACAAACAGAATTTGGAGAGGACGAAAATGAAAGTTTATGAAGCTTGCACCATGAGCACGTCCCTTTTTGCCTCTAGCGAAACCCCCAGTCGATTTCAAGTAACTGTGGCATAGAAGACAATGAAATTGTGGACAGATTGGCCAGAAAAGACATGGTGCAATCGAATAGTGACTTAACCCACCAAGATACTAAGTCATTAAAACAATCTAGTATCCAAGAAAGGATCCATCACACACAATTTTCTCAAGACTTGCTTCATCGTCTCTCTAGACAGGGACAATGTGTTATATTCAGACTATGGACAGGACATAACAGACTTCAACAACATATGTTCAAATTCAAACGTTTCAGTGTAGCTAAAATGGAGACGTGTCCCTGCAGCTTGGCACCAGTCAATGCTGAGCATGTGCTCCAACACTGTCAACTGTATAGTGTCAAAAGAGATAACATTTGGCATGTTCCAACCACAAAGAAAACAATGCTGTATGGCACACTGGGAGATATGGACTGCATGATAGCTTTCATAAAGGCTACCGGCCTTCTGATATAAATTTTCTGACAGAAAAATCGAGGAAGAAAAATACTTTCCACAAGCACTGTATACCATGGTGAGACTTTGTCCCCAACGAGGGCATACTCAAAAGAGTAGGAATGCCAACAATGTACTTTCTATTGAAGCAAAGATGCCTGCGTTGGTTGGAACATGTCTTTCACATGGAGGATAGTCATATTCCAAAGGATCTCCTGTATGGTGAACTGGTAACAGGGATAAGATCTGCAGGAAGGCCAACATTACACTTCAAGGACGTATACAAACATGACCTGAAAGATAACAACATTGACACAGACATCTGAGAAAGATTAGCTGCAGACTGACTCGTCTAGAGGTAAATAGTTAAATACAGACTGTCGTAATTTCAAGGAAGCCAAACGCAGCAAGCTAGAGAAAGGGGATGTCTGTGAACTTGCAGGTCACTTGAAGTCCCCCATGGTTCCCAACAGCCTGCTCTGTACACTTCGCTCTTGAGGCCAGGTTTTTTTATAGTTGTAAGTATACTGGGCAGGCCTGTAGAATGAGCTCAGGTGTTTGTGGTCCCATTTGACATGCACATTGTGAGAACACTACAGTCTTTATGTTATGCATGTGGGGTCTTGCAGATGTTTACTGTTGGTTTGTTCTCTTTGCAATTCCTTGTATTTCTCATTCATAAGTGATCTGATTTGTGGTACCAGAAAAGTTTAATAAAAGCAACCTAAAGTCGACTACACCACACTGAGTTATCCCATATAGCTAAATCCCCTTCCACAGAATGGATAGTCATCTGCAAAGTGTGTCACACAAAGCATGAACTTCATAGCTCCAGTGACAATCCACATGAATTTCTTTGTGAACTCAATGATGTGTTCATGAAAGGAACCCATGACCTGTGGAACGTGATGCAAACAGCTTGATATCTTCGCCGCAGAGACCTCCAGCTTTAACTTTAAGCAAAAGCTACTTGTCATGTGACAGTAACCTGACGCTTCTGGGCCAGCGGGCAAACATCCAGCCATTGCAAGAATATAGCCTCGAGACCAGGTTAAAGGCAGAAAAGCAACAAAACAAAAAAAGACATGACGGTAAAACTGGTGAGGGAAATAAAAGTTGTTCTCACCACTTTTATAGTCGCTGTCAAACATAGCTTTCCTCCCAACATAGAATCTGTCAACATCAAATAGTTTGGTTATTTACATGTCTGTGGCTTCATGTTTTGCATAAATGAGGACATCATCAGATGTCATGTTTGCACAAATGTGACAAAATCTTATGTCATGTTTGTCTCTAACTATGACAAGATCAAACGACACATTTGTCTGTGATTGTGGCAACATCAAATGTTATCTTTTATATGGACTTTTAAGTAAGTAAAGTAAATGTCCATTTTCCACACCTTCAGGTGTATTAGGAATATAGGGCTAGAATTATATTTTTATAGAACAATCGGCACTTGGCGGGTAATGTGGTCTGCATCACGTCAGCCGCTTTTACTTTTCAGGACTGCACCTGGTACCCACTCAACGCTGGGGTGACCTGGAAGTCAAAGTCATTTTTGAACAAAAGTCCGACTGCGTCATGGTGCGAACCCACGACCTTTCATTCCTTAGGCCGATCAGATGCTATGTTTGTCTGATATTTTGACACGCTGACCCCAACAAGAAAACTATGCCCACACAGACAAAATTATTGAGTGATTAAATTCATTTTATATCTGTGCATTCTCTCTTAATGTTGGGTTGGTGTTAACATTTTTAACTGCGAGAACTACACTAACATGTCATATTTTTTTGTAACTGTGATAATAATAGATATCAGTGTTGCTACAATTGGGACATCACATATCATGTTTGTAACTGCAAAAAACATCAGATGTCATACTGGTCTGTAACTGTGACATCATCAGATGTCATCTTTGCCTGGAAGTGTGACAATATCAAATGTTATATTTGTCTGAAACAGTGACATCATCTTATGTTGTGTTTGAAACTGTGACATCAGATGTCACATTTGCTTGTAATTTTGACAATATCAGATGTAATGTTTGCCTGTAACTGTGACAGCCTCATATGTCATGTTTGTGATTGTGACAGCATCAGATGCCACATTTGTCTGTAAATATGACATCAGATGTAACATTTTGTTAGTAACTGTAATTGACTGTAATTGTAACTGTGATACCATATTTCATGTCATGTCTGTAATTGTGAAAATATCAGATATCATGTTTAACTATAACTGTAACATTAGATGTCATGTTTCTAACTGGGACACTATATACCATGTCCATCTGTAATTATAGGCCCCCACTCTGAGCAACAGATTTGAGACATCATCAATCATCATCATCATCATCAGTTCTCGTTATGCCTAGTAGCACATGAAGCTTCAGAGAGGACTTTCCATGCTTTCCTGTCCTGTGCAATCTTTAGTGCAGTTTTCTATGTCAAAGATGCCGCACTCAGGTCACTTTCCATCGTTCGTCTCCATGTTGTTTATGTTTATTTTTCTTTTCCTCTGGTATCCATGTGCGAGCTGTTTTGGCAGGCATATCAGGATTCATTCTTATAACGTGGCGAAGCCGTTTAATCTTCTCTTGGTTATCATACTGTCTAGAGTTTCTTGGTTAAGATTTGAGACATGCATCAGTATAAATGCCTGCCCTGGATTAATGTTACTTTGTTGCATATTAGTTTCCCAAACAAAAATTCAGTCCTAAAACGGAATAACTGGTCCTCTTCATATTTCGTGAAAATTGTGTAAATACATCAGGTGCCATGTCTGTCTGTAAACTGTGACATCAGATGTCTTTTTCTCTGAGACTGTGACGGGGACAAAACTGGTGTTTATCTGCAGCACTAACATCCGTGTCTTGGAAAACGATAAAGTACATATGTTCAGCTGTATGCAGCTGTGATGAAACATCTTACCTGTATGTGACTAACTGCGACAAACTGAACTTGTCTTTGATTGGAAGGCTCTCAATGGCTCGAATCAACGGCTTACAAAGGTGGAGTTTGTTAATCTGCAATCAAACATAAACATGTTTATAATTCAAGACAACAATGATATTTCAAAAAAACAAGCGAGCATTATTTTCAGCCAAAATCCTTTTTCCTTACTGAATACTCTAATTCAAATCGCAGCAAAATCAGGTAGCGTTCTTCCCATGTCAGTTCCAGGGCCCTTTTTTGAAGGAAGAAAGAACGGATCCATTATCATCACCCCCGCCCCAATTGACCTTGAAAAAAAACCACATTTAGTAAATGGCAATTAATTTAGTTTTGCTGACGATCGTTGAGTTGGGTGTGTTAGGCCAAAAGGCACAGATATTGCAGTCTAGTTGTAAAATAGAGTACAATGTGTCAAGAGTGAACAAAAAAGAAGGAGAGGAGAAGGAGAAGAAGACAGTAATTTAACCCTTTCGCTGCTATGGACGAGATAACTCGTCTGCCCGGCAGACTGCTAAAGACGAGATAACTCGGCTGCCATTTTCTGTGCCCTCACTGCTAAGGACGAGATATCTCGTCCTAGACATTTTTTTACAGATTGCTAAGAACAGTAATTCTTAGGGGTGAAATAGCAATACACATTACCTTAATCTGATCAAACTGACCCGTTTACATACAATTAAAACCCTTATCAAGCGAGTTTAAGCGTATTTAGATGCATTTCACGTTATCCTGTTGCTTTGTTACCATAGAAGCATTGTCGGTGAACGGTAATTTTTTTGCCCTGAAATATATTTCTGGTTTTGCGTTAGTCTAAATTTTTTTTTTAAATACAAAATAATAAGAACATTTGTTTAAATAAAGAAGAATTAATGGAGTTTCTTTCAAGGAGTAGTAGTAAGAATCACTTTGAAACGTGTGAGTTATATGAGCTGGGTTATCTTCGCGGCACGCCGGCGGACACGTGTATTTCTGGCTGTGAACAAGACTGACCAGTGACCATATGACCTAGCTATCTACATCGACTGGGTTTGAAACGGATCCAAAATAATAAAAATAAAGATATGGTCACGTACTGACATGATGATTAATATTAATGTTAATAATAAACTATACAACTGACATAAATGTGTTTGTCTATTATAGTGTACAATACTGGTCTTTTTTTTTCAGTTCATAGTTCCATGTGAATTTCTAGTGTAGTTGGTATCACGTCTGCTTTACAATCGAAAGGTCTAGCGTTCAACCCCTGCGGGCCGTTTTTTTTTTAAAAATTCATTATTTTAAATGCAAATTTTTAATTCAAGCTCTTAGCATTTTAGGCAACAGATCACCGAAGTAATTATTAATTAAACACCCTGTCACGTGCGTTCAGGTCGATTTAGATGCTTTACACGTTATACTGTTTCTTTGTGAAGCGTGGTTGGTGTACTGTGCACATTCATTATATAAAGTTGTTGTGGGGAAAAACACACCTGTTGCCGAATTTCACATAATGTTAGTAAGAGAAAGTCTACAGAAATATAGCAAGGAAAAGAGAAAAAGTGTAGGAGGACAAAAAAAGTGAAGATCTGCCACTTCGTTTAGTACAAAGGCATTTCCTTTCAATAATAGAGTCCGTAACATCGCAGAAAAAATTCCCAACAAGAAAGTGTGTGGTATGCGCAAAAAGCAAAAAACGACGGGAAACCAGATACATGTGCAAGGAATGTGATTTGGCATTGTGTGTCGCACCTTGTCTTGAAATATTTCACACACAAAGATAATATTAATAATAAAAACCATATATTTGCTTACTAAAGTGTTTTGTGTTTGCTTTGTAAGTTTGTAGTGTTTTCTTTTTGTTAATGAGTTTTCATGGCGTAGTAAAAGCGCGTCTGACTTGTCAGTGCAAAGTTCAACCACACGCCTTCAACGATTTTTTATTTTAGGGGTACAATTTTTACCCCGTGCCGCAAGCGCGTCTTCTGCTTTTGAAGGAAAAAACGGTATTCAGCACAGGGGGAAAGATTAGCACTCGCCTGGCTTAGCACAGTGGTTACGTTGGCTGGCGGAGGGCGCAGCAGCGAAAGGGTTAATAACCTGGTATCATCATCGCGTGCCATTCCCAAAATTGTAGTTGGCTGTGGTTTACCATCTCATATGACCACGAGAGTTTTGAATCATTTCAATGTTCTTGTCCCACAAATACCATGTGTCACCCCTTATTTTCTCTCTGTTTTCTTGGCGCTCTTGTGTTTCTACCGATTCCGTTTAGTTGTCTGTAAATTTTCTTCTTAATATTGTCCAAAAAACATGATTATTTTATTTTATTTATCTAATCAGTTCAAGTTTTTCATCAATTTCTTGAAGCATTGCTTCATTTGTTTTAAAATCCTTCCATTCAGCAGAAGGGGAGCCTCTGTGGTACAGTGGTCAGAAACTTGGCTGTGGATCTTAAGGTTATGGGTTCCAATCTGAACATAGCCGGACTGGTCTATAAAATATAGATCAGCGTCTGTGGCTTAGACGCTGTCAACAGGCTTCATAATGCCGGTGTGCCGGGTTAGATCCCAGGTGCAGGCAATTTTTCACCCTGAGTTGATTTCAACAGTGGTATCAAGAGCGGACTGCTCAGAAGGCAATGGCAAACTACTGAATGTAACATCTGCCTAGAGAAACTACAAAAGTCAAACAATGTTGGGATTCGGTTCTGCAACGTCCTGTAAAGGATATGCAACTAACTTAGCCTTGTATGCATGAAGGCATGAAAAAGGGATCCTTTACTTACTGTTGTTTATGCTTTACATTCAACAGAAATGAGAAACCCTCAAACGAAAGAAAGCTGATGAGAGTGGACAAAAGTGAAGGATTGGGTTACATCCGAGATATCGACAGAATTGCACAGGACAGAACATAACCAAGGAATAGACTGTGGCCTCTAGGTGGCATACAGTGGTACAACAGCATGATGATCATAAATGATGATGAGGTTCAGCGGGTACCGTGATACACTGGACAATGAAAAAGCAGAATAACTAGCAAAACAACCCACTCTGGGAAAAACAAGAATAGACCCACGGCCTTCCCAACAAGCATGTCGTAACAGTCGACTAATTTGGAGGCTTCCTTCAAAGTTTGAGTACATCTGCCTGAGAGGTGAGAAACCAACACACTGCATACAAATTAGCCATTTCTGTAAAACGGATGTACACAAAAAACTCAGGTCCTGGGACAAAGTCCAGAAATGGACGAACAACCAGGTCTTTCTGCCTGGGTTTACAGCCAGTGAACACAAACAAACAAACAGACAACTTGCAAAAAAGCAAGATAAATGTTAGTAATAACAAAACAAACTTTCATACTCTGAGAAACAAAAAATATTCATACTTTCAAAAATTGACATGATCAATTTAGCAACTATGATGTACTTGATAGCCGAGCTGTCGAGTTATGTACCAGCTAGTCTTTGAGACAATTAATCTAAATATTTTGCATTTTATGATCAATTTTGTGTGACATGTTAAATTTCCAAACAATCAGACACAGCTGATCGAAACAGAGATGATCCAATTTAAACATTTTATTTAACTTCATCCCAACCCATATTGTTGAAATCTAAGTCAACGCTAGAGTTACCTTCTTCTTTATCTAACAGTCGCTGCGTTAGATCTAAAGCATGAGTTTTTGGTAATTCTTTGATCCCTCTCTATTGTGGATCTTGAAAGGTTGGAAGCTCCCATTTGAGGAAAATCACACTAAAAATTGTATCGCACCAATTTAGTAATCCCTGTGTGGGTTCCGGGCCCCACTGAGGGGAAAACAAGAACAGACCCACTGCCTACCCAACAAGCATGTTGTAGGAGTCAACTAATTGGGGGCTTCCTTCAAAGTCAGAGTGCATCTCCCTAAGAGACAAGGAACCAACAGTCTGCATATAAATAAGTAAGATCCAACACTCAGGTTCAGAACAAGACTAAAGTCCAGAGACGGACGAACAACCAGAACTTTTCGCCAGAGTTTACAGCCGGTAAATGTGAAGAAGAAGAAGAATCAAAGTAAAACAAGAAACTTAATCCTCTCGCTCGCCCACTCTTGGGAAACACACTTTGTTTCACTAATTCTGGTTTTTCAAACAGCTTCACACAAACTCATTTTCCTAGCAAATGAAACAACATTAGAGTGTCTATGTCTGTAGCCACTTAAATCACCCTATGTTCAGAAACAGTTAAAAACAAAATCATGAAATTCGAATACCTTAAAGTAAATCTTGAACAGCTGGTTGACAAGGTTCAGCATTCCCCACTTTTTAGAATCTTCTATGGCAGCTCGGCTGTAATGTGTGAAAGAGAATATAAATCAACAGCTCAGCTGTAATGTTTGAAAGAGAACATAAATCAACAGCTCAGCTGTAATGTTTGAAAGAGAACATAAATCAACAGCTTGGCTGTAATATTTGAAAGAGAACATAAATCAACAGCTCGGCTGTAATGTTTGAAAGAGAACATAAATCAACAAGTTACTGGGTTGGAAAAAACCAATAGATCCATGGCTCTTCAACAAGGGAAAAAGAATAAGTTATACATCAATGCAGTATAAATACATAACTTCATCTCCTTCTTTTTCTGTGCTTATCCTCAACACGGTGACTGTCTGACTGTTCTGCGGTTTACAGCTTGGCTGTGATATATACATCTGGCCCATGACAATTTCAGCAAACCCTTAGTCACCTTGTATATGCTTGTTAAAGGGCAGTGGGTCTATTTCCTCCCCCCCCCCCCCTTTTTTTTAAATGGGGATCTATAACAGTAATCCACAATAGTGTGATTCTAGTCATCATTATCATCAAGCACCTTGCCGACTGGCATGGCGATCATGCCTCTCTACAACTCGCGATCTCCAATGCTATTACAGTTTATATAGTTTGATTAAAAACACTTAAGTCTGTCAGCACTATGTCAGATGTTTGTGTGACAGATTTAGCCTTCTGAATCCTCATCAGCACAAATATTTCAGCAAAGTTCATGTTACTGCATAAATTTAGTTGTTCTTCTTTGGCCCCAAATGGAGCACAGGCACAAACCAACATACATCAAGTTGTCCTATGAATTCCAGAGAAATTTGACTAAAAAGCTCAACAAAATGGGAAAAAGGAAAACGTGCACAAAACAACACAACGTAACGTTTCGGCCAGGCAGCCTTTTTCAAACACAAGTGGACTACACAAAAGAGGAATGGAGAGTATGTAGATCTCTAAGGGGTGACGTGAGCGACGTTTAAAAAATGTGATGCGGAATAAATGAAATAAAATAAAATAAACTATGGCTTAAAAATATAGTCACAATACTGGGAATAAAAGAAATGCAAGTGTTAATGATACATAAATACATTAACACTTGCATTTCTTTTATTCCCAGTATTGTGACTATATTTTTAAGCCATAGTTTATTTTATTTTATTTCATTTATTCCGCATCACATTTTTTAAACGTCGCTCACGTCACCCCTTAGAGATCTACATACTCTCCATTCCTCTTTTGTGTAGTCCACTTGTGTTTGAAAAAGGCTGCCTGGCCGAAACGTTACGTTGTGTTGTTTTGTGCACGTTTTCCTTTTTCCCATTTTGTTGAGCTTTTTAGTCAAATTTCTCTGGAATTCATTGTATTAGCTTGACTGCAGTCACCCCCATAGTTTCATCAAGTTGTCCTAATATTTGCTATTATATATGCACCTACCCCTATGCCCTCCCCACCTTGACTGAAAACCTAGGTCTCTTAACCTCCTCTACATGTTGGGGTTTTTTTTTTTTTTTGGTGGTGAGGGGAGGGGTTCTTTTCTCTGTAGGTTCATGATGAAAAACATTCTAGCCATCTTAGGTTCGATTCTGTTACATGACATATGCCAGCACATCTATTCCTCAAGAGGAAGTGGTACCTTACTGTGTAATGTGTATCTGAGATAGAAAACTGGTAGTTTTTCCCAATATTGTGCTAATAAAATGTGTGTGTATGTGTGTGTGTGTGTGGATTTCTAGAGCCCACTGGGTTATAGAAATAAGCCGCAACCAAAAAGTACAAAAGTTAAGATGATTTGTTGTAAGCTTGTTGTGGACCTACACTCCACTGATAATATAGTGCAGGAGACTGCCAAAGGGGTGGAACAATGTTGAAAACTTTACCCAAACTTATGAAAATGAGTGACCACTTCACTTTTGAGCAACTTTCCACAACACTATGGAGAATTAGGTCTCAGACTCTGACTTATTAAATCTTCTCCTTCGTGTTTACCGGCTGTAAAATATGGCAGAAAATTCTGGTTGTTCATTCACATCTAGACTTTGTTGCAGAACCTGAGTGTTTTGTGCACATCCGTTTTACAGACCTGATTATTTGTATGCAGACTGTTGGTTCTTTGCCTATCAGGCAGATGCACTCCAACTTCAAAGGAAACCCCCAATTTGTCGACTCTTATGACATGCTTGTTGGAGAGGCAGTGGGACTATTCTTGTTTTTCCCAAAATGGGTTCCCGGAACCCACAGTGAGAAATTCTAACCTCTAAATGTATAGAATTTAGTATATGAATAGTCAGTCGCAATTTTTGTTCCAGGGTGTTACATAACCAACCTCAGCTAATTTTTGGGGTGCTTGTGATTTCATCAAAGGCAATGTCTACATTCAGTAGTTTATCCCTGCCTCCTGGACAGTTGGCTCTCGCTAGCATTGTTGAAACCAATGCAAGGCAGTCTGCTACCAAATCACCTGCAGCTGCGGTCGAGCCCGGTACCTCAGAATTATGTAGCATGTTTACAACTCCTAAGCCATAGAGGCTGACAGTATATGTATACGAGCACACACAAAACCATAGAACTCACTTGTCTGAGGCACAGACTCTGAACAAGCCCATTAGCAACTCTGCTGCCTTCTCCAACTTCTCCCCAGCTTTGCCTCTGTTCTTGGCTACCAACTGAATATCTGCCTGTGGTATCAGCAGTGATGAAATATATCAGAGAATGTGAGTGCGTGGTGTATTAACATCGTAGAATGTGGATACAGGGTACTTATGGGGTTTCTTTTGTCTTTTAGCTCTGCCTCCAACTCCAAAAAAGAGCAGAGTCCTTCAAACAACTCAAGTCACGCCCAGTGTAGCCTTATTCATAACTGGTAGGATTTTGCAGTTTTTGCAGTTACAAGTTTTCTATGGAAAAAGGTTGCCAGACCATGCAGACTTGTTAAAAACTGGTAGTATTGTCAGTTCTGAACCTGAGTGCTTCATGCATCTCTGGAAGTAGTGGGTAACCGTGAATCAGCCAGACGGCCTGCATGAAGGCCGCAAGGAGGCAGCCCCTCCACCATGCAAAGGCACAACAGGCCAATCACCTGTTTGCCTTAAACCACGATTACAAGTAACTACAGAGAGAAAACCGGACGGATCTTAACGGTGACGAACTGGCATGGCTTACGGACTACGATTTATGGAACATGGAATATAAGAGGCATTAACGGAAAGGAAAACGAGTTAGTAGGGGAGATGAGGAAAGCAAAATTAGGAGTCTTGGCTCTGACTGAAACCAAGAAAAAGGGGCAAGGAATCACAGATCACGATGGAAGTATGCTGCTCTACAGTGGTGTCCCTATGACGGAGAGAGCCAAGGGAGGTGTTGGCTGTATTGTGGCCAGGAATCAAGTTAGTAACATCAAGGGATGGAAATTCATCTCAGAGCGAATAATGGTGTTAGATCTGAAAGAAGAAGATAAAATTGTCAATTTTGTCATTGTGTACGGGCCAAATGAAGATGAGCGAGTAGATGTTAAAGAAGAATTCTTTGAACTGCTCCAAAAGACCATAGATGACTGTCACGATGAAATTATCCTCCTAGGAGATCTAAATGCCAGAGTAGGAAATGATCACTCTAGATGGGGTGGAGTGATCGGGAGATATGGTGAAGATGTTTTGAATGATAATGGCAAGTGACTTCTCAGATTCTGCAGGGAACAGAACCTTGTCATTACAAACACAAAATTCCCCCACAAGCGTATACATGCATACACAAGATGTGAACCTTCAAAGAATGAAAAATCCATCATTGACTACGCCATAGTTAGGAAAAGTTCATTCAAGTTTGTGAGAGATGCCAGAGTCATGAGAGGACCAGAGATTGGAAGTGACCACTATCTGGTCACAATAAAGAGAACAACTGAAAGAACTGCTCCAAAAAGGCAACACCGACAACTATGCAAGAAACCAAGCAACCAAGAAGGGATGAGGATTAAAGCATACAAGCTAAGAGAGCCAGATATTAAGGCTAGATACCAGGAGCTTATAGTGAAAGCAATAGGAACTGAAGAAGAATCATCAGAGGACACTGAAACTCTCTGGTGCAGATTCAAGAATATCCTCACAGCAGCTGCAGTAGAAGCATGTGGTGAAGTCCCAAGTGGAAGGCGGGGACACAGGACACCTTGGTGGACAGAAGAAGTCAAATTGAAAATAGGAGAAAAGAAAAGGGCATGGAAGCAATACCTGGCAGCCAGGAACACAGCTGAAGAAATAGAAAAATATAAACAATATGTGGCACTCAGAACAGAGACCAAAAATATTGTGCTTAAAGCAAAACAGAAATCATGGGAAGAGTTTGGAGAAAAGTTGGAAAAGAATGCAAGAGAAAACCAAAAACTGTTCTACAAGACCCTTAAGAACATGAGGAAGGAGAAAGAGTGCCCACTTAAATTCATAAAAGACAAGGAAGGGGCTCTGCTTACTTCTACAAATGATATCATGGGCAGATGGAAAGAATACTTCTCAGAGCTCCTCGGCGCTGAGGGAAGTCATGACCCAGAAATAATGGACCTCACTGCTGAGAAGGAATTCAATCATGGGGAAGATAACATCAGGATGGAAGAATTGAAGGCAGCTATTGAGAAGATTAAGCTGGGAAAAGCAGCAGGTCATGATGGTATAACACCAGAGATGGTCAAATATATGGGAGTCGAAGGTGAGCGCCTTCTACTGAAGGTTCTCCAGGCAGCCTGGTGTAGCAAAACTATACCAAAAGATTGGGAGATTGCCATCATTATACCAATATTTAAAAAAGGTGATAACAGACAATGTGAAAACCACAGAGGCATATCCCTCCTCAGCATTCCCGGTAAAAGTTACTCTAGAATTCTTGAGCAGAGACTTAGAAGTCTGGTAGAGCCACAGCTGGACGAGGCCCAGTGCGGCTTCAGAGCAAACCGAAGTACTCAAGACCTTATCTTCACACTGAGACAGATGAGTGAAAAAGCCCTGGAATATAAGAGTGAGATTCACTTATGTTTTTTGGATCTGGAAAAGGCATTTGACAAGGTACCCTGGAACAAGCTCTGGGACTGCTTGGCAGGGAAAAAACATCCCAGCACCCCTGATCAGTGCAATACAGAGTTTCTACAAAAAGTGCAGAAATTATGTAAGAACAGCAGACCAAAAGTCAGAAGAATTTAAGACCACCAGCGGTGTTAGACAAGGTGATATTCTCTCACCTTACCTCTTCATTCTTATGATGGATGATGTCATCAAGACCTGTAAGGAGAAGACAAAGAAGTACTCTGTAGGGTACTGGAAGATGAGACCAATCTGTATATCAGAGCTGGCTTTTGCAGACGATGTGGCCCTGATAGCTAAATCAGAGGCACACCTTCAGTCCAACTTACTTGTCTGGAAGGAAGAGCTTGAAAAGAAAGGGATGACCATCAGTGTCTCCAAAACTAAAACCATGGTGATCTCAAGAGAGGAGAAGAAACACCAGATCATGATGGGTCAGTATGCTTTGGAGCAGGTTAACCAGTTCAAATACCTTGGAGTTGTATTAGACCAAAATGGAGGCATTAAGACTGAGCTGGCTACACGAAAAGCAGCTGCTGGGAGACTCTTCCAGGCCATAAACCGAGGGTTTCTTAGCAAAAGAGAAATTGGCAAGAGGACGAAAATGGCTGTTTACCGCTCTACCTATGTACCAGTCCTGACCTATGGGTGTGAGTCATGGGCAATGACAACAGCTCACAGAAGCCAGCTGCAGGCCTCGGAAATGAGATACCTGAGAAAGGTGGTCCAAGTGACAAGAAGGGACAAAGTCCGCAAACAGACAATACGTCAAGATCTTGATACCCAGCCCTTACTAACCCGAGTGGATCAGTCACAGTTACGATGGTTTGGACATGTGTGCAGAATGGGAGAAAATCGGCCACCATGGCAAGCATGGGAGGCTAAGAACCAGGGAACCAGACCTCCGGGACGACCCAGGGTGCGCTGGGAAGACAACATCCGACAGTCCCTGACTGACAGAGGACTGGAATGGAACAAAGCCAGAAAGAAAACTGCTGATAGAGACGTCTGGCGATCTCTCTGGCAAACCTCTACACCCCAAGGTAGAAGAGGAGCGACTAAGTAAAAAAAAAAAGTATTGTCAGTTAAAAGTTTTCTATGGGATAAGTAGCCAGACCATGTAAACTTGATCATAACTGGTAAGATTTTGCAGTTAAAAGTTTTCTATGGGATAAGTAGCCAGACCATGTAAACTTGATCATAACTGGTAAGATTTTGCAATTAAAAGTTTTCTATGGGATAAGTAGCCAGACCATGTAAACTTGATCATAACTGGTAAGATTTTGCAATTAAAAGTTTTCTATGGGATAAGTAGCCAGACCATGTAAACTTGATCATAACTGGTAAGATTTTGCAGTTAAAAGTTTTCTATGGGATAAGTAGCCAGACCATGTAAACTTGATCATAACTGGTAAGATTTTGCAATTAAAAGTTTTCTATGGGATAGGGTTCCAAGACTGTGTAGACTTGTTCATAAGTGGCAGGATTTTGCAGTTAAAAGTTGTCTAAGGCGCAAGGTAGACTGCGTAGACTTGTTCATAATTGGTATGATTTTGCAATTACAAATTTTCTATGGGACAAGATAGCAGACTGTACAGACTTGTCATAATTGGTAGAATTTTGCAGTTAAAAGTTTTCTATGGGATAAAGTATCCAGGCTGTGTAGACTTGATCATAATTGGTAGAATTTTGTAGTTGAAAGTTTTCTCTGGGATGAGGTCAGTCAGTTCTCTCTGTGAGTCAACTGCTTCCCAACACTGAAATGCAGTTACAAATGTCTTTTCTGTAGAAGTCTTCAAGTTAAGTTAAAGAGTCTTACAATTCCATTATCCACCATCTCATTATGTTGCATGTCCACTGTAGAATGTCGCTCTCATCATAGTATGCTGGAAAGCTATTCTACCCCATGCCAAATTTTTCATCTCAAAAACTTTCATACCCATGGCATTCTTTACATCTCGTCTCCACTGTCATGATGGTCAACCCCGGCCTCATCTTCTTGGAACCATATCCTCCATTACTGCTTACAATTTCTCCATTACTGCTCTTGCTGAACCATTATAGCATTTAATATATGGCCAAAGCATTTAAGTTTCCAAGACATGATACTATCTATGATGCAGCCCTCCTCGATGTTCAGATACAAACAACCACAAAACCTACTTATCCGACTCATACAGTACTCACATTAACAGCAAACAACCTAAGGTCAAGTGCAACAGCAAACATAATTAAAATGGCCAAAGCATTTAAGTTTCCAAGAAATGATACTACCTATGATGCAGCCCTCCTCGATGTTCGGATACAAACAACCACAAAACCTACTTATCCGACTCATACAATACTCACATTAACAGCAAACAATCTAAGGTCAAGTGCAACAGCAAACATAACTGGAAGAGCCCAGTTTTCTTCCTTCTGAGACTGAAGAGCTTTCAGGAATGATCTAAGAGTGAGGTCAAGGTGTCTTTTCTTTTAAAAATATATTCTAAAATAAGAACTCTACAGATATCAATTTCAAAGTCAATTTCTTGCAACTGCCTACCATGTATAGAACAGTCTGCTTATAAACGATGAATGTTTCTTAAGCTAACTAATTTGAAAACTCTGAATAATTTTCTGATGTAATATTAAACAAAACGTTGTTGACGAGAAAAATATTTATCCCTAATTTAGCAGGGAAAAAAAAAAACTATTGACCCAAAGCCCCTTAACAAGCATTTTGTAAGATGGACGATTATTACTTAGAACAATTAAATAAAAAAAGCAGAAATAAAAATTCAAGTAGTGCTATCACACCAAGCATAACCAGATAAAGATCACAATTATAACCATAGCTTATTTAAGCTGGCAAAACATGGAGAAAATTGTTTGGGTTTTCTTCTTCAATGAAGCAAAGCATTTGGTGGATGATCTTTTATGTTGAAATCTTGCCTATTCGTGGCTTAATTTATTTCGTTCGTAAATTCTTTTAATTTTTCCACTCTAATCCTGCCTAATATTTTCTCAGAAACTAACAACATTCTTCTTCTTCTTTCTTCTTCTTCGTTCCCCTACTCCTGGAATGCCTCACGGCGTCAGGGCAGGAAGAGATCTCTGGAACGGGCCCTTCTGTTCGCATTATAAAAATTTACTTTTCAGTTTCTCTGACATTTTGCCGTCCATCTTCTGCACGGTCGACCTCTCGATCTGTTACCGTGGTATCTGTATAACACTGCCCTCTGTAGTGCCCTGTCTGATGCCAATCTTGTTACATGACCAAACCATTTGATTTGTTGTCTACCTATAAAGTTCAGTATTGGTTCTGTGCTGACTCTCCTCCTGATATCATTGTTCCTTAATCAATCTGTCCTCGTTACACCTAGCACAGTAACCATCAACACTATTCCTCTATAATTAAAACACTCTTGTAGATATTCCTTCCTTAAGTTTTCACTAGATTTGATTCTTTTCGGTCTTCTTGTATTTCTCAAGTTACTCTGCTAAATAATTTATTTAGTTATTCAGATAAAACTTTTATATTGACTTTAATCGCAACTACCTCAGATACCATCTGGACCAGCAGCTTTTCCATCCTTGAGGAGTCTGACAATTTTGTTCTAATTTCTTTTTCATGGCTTCTCAGTTGATATCCAGCTCTACCTCTGTAAGCATAAGTGAGGGATGTTTTGCAACCGCTTACTTTAAAAAATCCCCAAAGTATTCAGCCTAACTATTCATTTCATCTTTAATACTGATGATAACTTTCCCATTAAAATGTGTCAACATGTTGGCTAGATTTGCCGGATTTGAAATGCGGGTACTATGTTCAACCTGCCTCTGGGGCTTGGTTATATATGTGGTGACACACTGGTCTCTATTTCATAGGATTTTGACTTTGGGCTGTCAGTTTTCCTTGGATCGGATGAGACATGTTGGCTAGATTTTTCTGCTATTTTCACTGTGCTGCTGTAAATGTCTCTGGAGTTTCCTTTCACTGTCATTAATTTTTGCCTCTCCTAGAAAGTTAGTTGCGTATCCTTTAAAGGAGGTTGCAGAACCTACCCTAGAATTTTTTTTTTACCTGTTGTGGGTTTTAAAGGAAAATTTTATGTTTAATAGTTTGCCACTGCTTTCTGAAGAGTCAGCTCTTGGTACCAGCGTCAAAACCAATGCGAGAACTCATCCGCAGCTGGGATCGAACCCGGCACCCCAGCAGTAGGATGTGCATTCACAACGCCTAAGCCACAGACACCAACCTCTCCTACAAAGTTATCTATATATTATCCTCTATCTACCATAAACCACTTTTCAAACTATTAGCTCCTGTGTATTAATCGTAAGCTCTGAATGGAGTATTCAAAAGAAGCTAGTTAAAAACAATAAAACAAACATAAAGATTAAAAGGATACTGGACAACAACAGCTTGACTGTTGTAAGCCTCAGCAAAATCATGGTTTGCAACAGCCCAACAGCATCTGCAAAAGATGAAACAAAAATTAACTGTCAGGTTCTGTTTAATGTTTTTAAACAATTTAACGATTCAATCAATCATATATATATATATATATATATATATATATATATATATATATATATATATATATATATATATATATATATATATATATATATATATATATATATATATATATATATATATATATATATATATATATATATATGTAGTGAATCATGGAATGTGAATGCACAAACAAGAAAGAACTTGGAGATGATAGAGATGTCGTTTCTTAGACGAATGTTAAGAATCCCTTGGACTGCTAGAGTAACTAACGAGGATTGCTTGAAGGAAGCTAATGAAAACAGATCAATATACACAGCTATAAGGAAAAAACAAACACTGTTTTTTGGTCATGCGATGAGAGGGGAGGCTTTGGAGAATACAGTGACAACCGGGTAAATCAACAGTAGAAGAAGGAGAGGCAGACCAACAGAGATTATGATGGATAGATTGTGGCAGCGGCATGGAGCGGTATCAGCAGTGGAACTGATCCAGAGGACAAGAAACCAAGATCTGTGGAGATGCATGAATGCCCATGCCAGTCGGCAGAGCACATGATGATGATGATGAAACATAAGGTACTTGCTGTGAGCTGGTTGGGAGGACCTAAACTTCTTTGGGAGACAAAAAGGCAGAAGAGAATACTTGTATGGTCTGATAACTGCATGCCTATTTTTTGTAAATGTTTGTCTTGGTTCAGTCTTTCTTCTTTTCTCCAGTACTGAAAAATCCAGACTTACTTTTGCATTTCTCCATGACTGAAAACAATTGTTTTACTTAAAGTCTTCTCTGTGGTTAGATTTTCAACATTTTTTTAAAGCAAATTTCCTAGCCAAAGGGTTCTTATAATGTTTTATTAACTCCACATCCCGAAAGCTTCTATAAGTTAGCTTCAGGTTTCTTCATTGCCTACATTTAACAAGTAAGTTTCTGTGGCAAAGTGGCTGAGATATTTGCTCCTTCTTCTGAAGGTCATGATTTAGTTTCTGACTCCATCCTTCAGTTCAGAGGAGCAGATTCTCCAGAAATTCCTAGAGATTATTACTGAGGCTTGAGTTGTGTGCTTTGTGCAAAATTATCAGCAAGCAAACGGCCACTCTAAAGACAGAGACTAAGCCAGACGGGATACAATCTAGTGCAATGAACGTGCATACAGGATAAAAACCTGGTGCAAATTAACATTTAAACACACATTAATTTATAAATATACAATGTATCAGATCCAATATTTTTTTAGTAGGCAAGCAAGCGGTAGGCATATTTGAAGATAACATCAGCCTGGCTCTCTAGCGTAGTTGGCTAAACCGGATTGCGCGGTCAGCGGGTGACGAACTCCTTGTGGTCCGGGTTCACTCCTGGGGATAGGCAGAAAAGCCACATTTCTCCCAGATTTACGGTATTTACAATGGAATCAAGGCTGAAAGGTTGTGATATTCATAACACTGAGCCTAAGGGTTAACAACTCATGGCTTCTGGATACTAAAACAAAACAAACAAACAAAGATAACATCAAGCTTTGGTCAAAACGAGCCTGTCAGAATGTACAATCTGGACATTTAGCAGAGAGTACTGGAGAATCACTGCAGCCAAACTTCACTGGACAAATGGCATCTGCACGACTGACTGATTAATGTCCAGAAGTGTTTTGTTTATATTGCTTTTGCTAAGATTATATTATAATGTTTCTGAGATAACTACCATAAACTACATATAAATTGAGTTTTCTTGCCTCAAAAATCTTTCCAAAATTAGGGGTTGGCTTATATGGCAGGTATGATATGCATTACGGTTAAGAATTCTGAGCTAACAATTTTGAGGCTGACTTGTATGCCAGGTTGAATTGTACGCCACAATTTATGGTATTTACATTGTTCTTCAGTCATTCTGTTTTACAGCTTTCCACTAAACCCAAATCCAACAACAGTAAACATTACCCTATATGCTAAAGTTGCTCTGCACCTCAAAATAGTACATTATGGGTGAGGCAAGGAAAGTCATATGTTAATAAAATAGTAAAGACAATACCACTACTAAGCTAAATATGAGGAGAAAGTCCTCAAGAATCAACAATGAACTCAATGAACTGTGTGGGTTCTGTGGCTCCGTTGAGTGGGAAACAAGAACAGAGCTGTAGCCTCCCTAACAAGCATGTCGTAAGAGTTAACTATTTCAGTCCCAAGAAATGCATCATACGTTCATAGGTTCCTATCTAGAAGACTAATAAACATAAGATGTGCCGATTATACATTTCTCTGTACTACCTCTTGGGCCTCTGATGCTAACCTAAACCCCATGGGACTGAAAGAATAGGGGACTTCCTTATAAATCTGAGTATATCTGCTTGACAGGCGAGAAACCCACAGTGCACACAAATAAACCAGATCTGCAAAATGCATGTGCAGGCGACACACAGATTCTGGAAGAAGACTAAAGTTCAGAGGTAGATGAACCTGTACTTTCCGCCAGAGTTTACTGCCAGTGAATGTGAAGAGGAAGAACACAATGAGACAGTGTACTACCTGAGGTGAGCTGCTGCCATTTCATCAAAGGGTGAGTCCAACACACGTCTGCACTGAGCATCAGCTTTCTCCAGCTGTAGATTTGGGCTGGCCACATGTGGGTCCCGAAATGACAGCAGGCGCTGTAACACATAATTGTATAAAGTAAAAGTAAAGCAGTAAGTAAACAACCTTTTCAATGCCTTCACGTGTATGTTAGGCGTATAGGGCTGGGCACTATATTTTATAGATCTTCTTCTTTGTTCTTTTTTTTGAGTTTACCAGCTGTAAACTTTGGTGGAAAGTTCTGGTTGTTTGTCCACTATTAGACTGGAGTCCTGTTCCAGAACCTGAGTATTGCCTGTGCGTCCGTTTGATCTGACTGTTGGTTCCTTGCCTCTCAGGCAGAGACACTCCGATTATGAAGTAAGCTCCCAATTAGTTGACTCTTACGACATATTTTTTGGTTGGTAGTGGGTCTATTCTTGTTTTTCCCCACAAGGAGGCCCCGGAAACCACAAAGTGCATTTTATAGATCATGTGGTACTTGGTTGGTGATGTGGTCAACACCACTCGGATCATCTTCTTCCCAGCACCTTACCTAGTACTCATTTAAGGCTGGGTTGACCTAGCTGCTACACCCGGAGGCTTGGTACAAAGTAAAGGATCATTTTTTTTCACTTTTGGTGCACTAGGCATATACTGCTAGATCTATATTTTCAAAGTCTAAGCAGCACTCTACCTGTGATATGGTTAGCTTCACACTGACTATCTTTACTTCCCATGACATTACCTGGCATCCATTTTAGACTGGGCCGATCGGGAAGCCAAAGTAAATTTTTTTTAATATATATTTTAAAAAATTTGCATCAATGCAAATTTGAACCCTAGACATTCAGGCTGGTAGTCACTTCACTACCTCAGATACCTGAAATTGTTTAAATGTCATCAAATTACAATTTTCAGCAAAGTATCAGACATACATACTTTAAAAAAAAAAAATATTGGATCTAATACAGAATATGTATTATGCAAGTATATTATTATCTGTTTCCCAAATTAAATGTGCACCTTATACATGGGAGTATACTTGGTATACTCTGGTATACTCCTATACTTGGGGAAATACAGTAATGTAAAACATTGCTACAAAGAATGAAATGGTTCAGCCATCTAGTGAGAATGCCGCCAGGCCAAACTGCATATGACAGTTTTTACAGCAGATCATCTGGGAGGAAGTTGAGAGGAAGACCAGGACAGAGAGGGATAAATGGTGTAGCTGAAACTTAAAAACAGTTTAAAAAATACATCACTCAAGCCACCCAAGAAGCATAAAACAAGTACAGAAAACCACGAAACTGGGCTACAACCTGGTATTAGTGAGACCACAAAAGAAGAAGCAGAAGCACTGCAAACTTTCTAATGGTTGGACGACAGACCATTCTATCATGTCACTCAACAAGTCAGTCTATAAGTGCTCACACCTTCTTCTCAGTTTATTCCTCAGCAGACAGTGACTGGTAAAAGCAGTTTTACACTGGTTTACCTCTCTTCTTTGGTCTCTTTGCAGATTGTTCTTTTCTGGCTTCACCAAACATACAGCTCTTGCAGTTTAATCAATGTCAATCAACATCACTTGATTTTTTTTACCTCTGAGGGCATTCAAAATCATATTTTATAGACCAACTGGCATTCGGTCAGTGATCTGGTCAGCATCACACCGACCACCTTTACTTCCCATGACTTAACCTGGTACCCATTTAGGGTTGGGCCAACGTACGAGCCAAGGTCCATTTTTTTTTTTTAAAGTCCAGCTTTGTTTGGATTTGAACTCTAGACCTTTGGATACATCTCGCCACTTCTCCACTATGGCTCCCAATAAAAACAGTGCATTTAAATAATAATTCAATTTAGACACAACTCACCGCTGCTTCATCACTATCATTATTCTGAACAGCCTCATTGACCTGTTAAACAGACAAATCTGATATTTATATACAGATTATTATAAGTAAGTAAACATTTTCTTACAAATTGATATGCATGTAAGCAAGAAAGAAAGACCAGGCAACATAAGAAATGTGCCTTTTCAGGAGGAAAAAACTGTCTTTACTTCTTTCATTTACAATTTTTAAACATTTGTTTACTATTATTAAAAAAAAATTGTATTTGAACGATGTTGAAGAATAAGGGGTCTTGAGCCAGAGAAAAATGGCAACATGGCTAATGCAGTTAATATAAATTATGCAGGGGTACTTCAATTTTAATTCATCCCAAAACCTAGTAGCTATATTTAGCACTGACTTAGATCTAGTGCGATTGTGTAGTGCTTTTTATTTTCTTCTGTTAAGTTGTCTCTAAGTGTTATCTCCAAGCAGGTGTGTTTCTAAGTGTTATCTCCAAGCAGGTGTGTTTCTAAGTGTTATCTCCAAGCAGGTGTGTTTCTAAGTGTTCTCTCCAAGCAGATGTGTTTCTAAGTGTTCTCTACAAGCAGGTGTGTTTCTAAGTGTTCTCTACAAGCAGGTGTGTTTCTAAGTGTTATCTCCAAGCAGGTGTGTTTCTAAGTGTTCTCTCCAAGCAGGTGTGTTTCTAAGTGTTCTCTCCAAGCAGGTGTGTTTCTAAGTGTTCTCTCCAAGCAGGTGTGTTTCTAAGTGTTCTCTCCAAGCAGGTGTCTCTAAGTGTTCTCTCCAAGCAGGTGTGTCTCTAAGTGTTCTCTCCAAGCAGGTGTGTTTCTAAGTGCTCTCTCCAAGCAGATGTTTCTAAGTGTTCTCTCCAAGCAGATGTTTCTAAGTGTTCTCTCCAAGCAGGTGTGTTTCTAAGTGCTCTCTCCAAGCAGGTGTGTTTTTAAGTGCTCTCTCCAAGCAGATGTTTCTAAGTGTTCTCTCCAAGCAGGTGTGTTTCTAAGTGCTCTCTCCAAGCAGGTGTGTTTCTAAGTGCTCTCTCCAAGTGTGTTTCTAAGTGCTCTCAAGCAGGTGTGTTTTCTAAGTGTTCTCTCCAAGCAGGTGTGTTTCTAAGTGTTTCTCTCTCCAAGCAGGTGTGTTTTAAGTGTCTCTCCAAGCAGGTGTTTCTAAGTGTTCTCTCCAAGCAGATGTGTTTCTAAGTGTTCTCTCCAAGCAGGTGTGTTTCTAAGTGTTCTCTAAGGTGCTTTCTAAGTCCAAGCAGGTGTGTTTCTAAGTGTTTCTGTTTCTAAGTGTTCTCTCCAAGCAGGTGTAAGTTTCTAAGTGTTCTCTCTCTCCAACAGCTGTGTTTAAGTGCTCTCTCCAAGCAGGTGCTAAGTCTCTCTCAAGCAGGTGTGTTTTTCTAAGTGTTCTCTCGAAGCAGATGTGTTTCTAAGTTTCTAAGTGTTCTCTCCAAGCAGGTGTGTTTCTAAGTGTTCTCTCCAAGCAGGTGTGTTTCTAAGTGCTCTCTCCAAGCAGGTGTGTTTCTAAGTGTTCTCTCCAAGCAGGTGTGTTTCTAAGTGCTCTCTCCAAGCAGGTGTGTTTCTAAGTGTTCTCTCCAAGCAGGTGTGTTTCTAAGTGTTCTCTCCAAACAGCTGTGTTTCTAGGTGCTCTCTCCAAGCAGGTGTTTCTAAGTGTTTTCTCGAAGCAGATGTTTCTAAGTGTTCTCTCCAAGCAGTTGTGTTTCTAAGTGTTCTCTCCAAGCAGGTGTGTTTCTAAGTGCTCTCTCCAAGCAGGTGTGTTTCTAAGTGTTCTCTCTAAGCAGGTGTGTTTCTAAGTGTTCTCTCCAAGCAGGTGTGTTTCTAAGTGTTCTCTCCAAGCAGATGTTTCTAAGTGTTTTGTCCAAGCAGGTGTTTCTAAGTGTTCTCTACAAGCAGTGTGTTCTCTCTAAGTGTGTTTCTAAGTGTTCTCTCAAGCAGGTGTGTTTCTAAGTGTTCTCTCCAAGCAGATGTTTCTAAGTGTTTCGTCCAAGCAGGTGTTTCTAAGTGTTCTCTACAAGCAGGTGTGTTTCTAAGTGTTCTCTACAAGCAGGTGTGTTTCTAAGTGTTCTCTCCAAGCAGGTGTGTTTCTAAGTGTTCTCTCCAAGCAGGTGTGTTTCTAAGTGTTCTCTCCAAGCAGGTGTGTTTCTAAGTGTTCTCTCCAAGCAGGTGTGTTTCTAAGTGTTCTCTCCAAGCAGGTGTGTTTCTAAGTGTTCTCTACAAGCAGGTGTGTTTCTAAGTGTTCTCTACAAGCAGGTGTGTTTCTAAGTGTTCTCTCCAAGCAGGTGTGTTTCTAAGTGTTCTCTCCAAGCAGGTGTGTTTCTAAGTGTTCTCTCCAAGCAGGTGTGTTTCTAAGTGTTCTCTCCAAGCAAGTTTTCTAAGTGTTTTCTCTCCAAGCAGGTGTGTTCTAAGTGTTCTCTAAGCAGGTGTGTTTCTAAGTGTTCTCTCAAGCAGGTGTGTTTCTAAGTGTTCTCTCCAAGCAGGTGTGTTTCTAAGTGTTCTCTACAAGCAGGTGTGTTTCTAAGTGTTCTCTCCAAGCAGGTGTGTTTCTAAGTGTTTTAAGTGTCTACAAGCAGGTGTGTTTCTAAGTGTTCTCTACAAGCAGGTGTGTTTCTAAGTGTTCTCTCCAAACAGCTGTGTTTCTAGGTGCTCTCTCCAAGCAGGTGTTTCTAAGTGTTCTCTCAAGCAGGTGTGTTTCTAAGTGTTTCTAAAGCAGGTGTGTTTCTAAGTGTTTTCTCCAAGCAGGTGTGTTTCTAAGTGTTTTGTCCAAGCAGGTGTGTTTCTAAGTGTTTCTCTCCAAGCAGGTGTGTTTCTAAGTTTTCTCTCCAAGCAGGTGTGTTTCTAAGTGCTCTAAGTGTTTTCTCTAAGCAGGTGTGTTTCTAAGTGTTCTCTGCAAGTAGGTGTGTTTCTAAGTGCTCTCTGCAAGCAGGTGTGTTTCTAAGTGTTTTGTCCAAGCAGGTGTGTTTCTAAGTGCTCTCTGCAAGCAGGTGTGTTTCTAAGTGTTCTCTCCAAGCAGATGTGTTTCTAAGTGTTTTGTCCAAGCAGGTGTTTCTAAGTGTTCTCTTCAAGCAGATGTGTTCCTAAGTGTTCTCTCCAAGCAGGTGTTTCTAAGTGTTCTCTCCAAGCAGGTGTTTCTAAGTGTTCTCTCCAAGCAGATGTTTCTAAGTGTTCTCTGCAAGCAGGTGTGTTTCTAAGTGCTCTCTGCAAGCAGGTGTGTTTCTAAGTGCTCTCTCCAAGCAGATGTGTTTCTAAGTGTTCTCTCCAAGCAGGTGTGTTTCTAAGTGTTCTCTCCAAGCAGGTGTTTCTAAGTGTTTTGTCCAAGCAGGTGTTTCTAAGTGTTCTCTCTAAGCAGGTGTGTTTCTAAGTGTTCTCAGCAAGCAGGTGTGTTTCTAAGTGTTCTCTACAAGCAGGTGTGTTTCTAAGTGTTCTCTCCAAGCAGGTGTGTTTCTAAGTGTTCTCTCCAAGCAGATGTGTTTCTAAGTGTTTTGTCCAAGCAGGTGTGTTTCTGAGTGTTCTCTACAAGCAGGTGTGTTTCTAAGTGTTTTGTCCAAGCAGGTGTGTTTCTAAGTGTTTTGTCCAAGCAGGTGTATTTCTAAGTTTTCTCTCCAAGCAGATGTGTTTCTAAGTGCTCTCTCCAAGCAGGTGTGTTTCTAAGTGTTTTCTCTAAGCAGGTGTGTTTCTAAGTGTTCTCTGCAAGTAGGTGTGTTTCTAAGTGCTCTCTGCAAGCAGGTGTGTTTCTAAGTGTTTTGTCCAAGCAGGTGTGTTTCTAAGTGCTCTCTGCAAGCAGGTGTGTTTCTAAGTGTTCTCTCCAAGCAGATGTGTTTCTAAGTGTTTTGTCCAAGCAGGTGTTTCTAAGTGTTCTCTTCAAGCAGATGTGTTCCTAAGTGTTCTCTCCAAGCAGGTGTTTCTAAGTGTTCTCTCCAAGCAGGTGTTTCTCCAAGCAGATGTTTCTAAGTGTTCTCTGCAAGCAGGTGTGTTTCTAAGTGCTCTCTGCAAGCAGGTGTGTTTCTAAGTGCTCTCTCCAAGCAGATGTGTTTCTAAGTGTTCTCTCCAAGCAGGTGTTTCTAAGTGTTTTGTCCAAGCAGGTGTTTCTAAGTGTTCTCTCTAAGCAGGTGTGTTTCTAAGTGTTCTCAGCAAGCAGGTGTGTTTCTAAGTGTTCTCTACAAGCAGGTGTGTTTCTAAGTGTTTTCTGCAAGCAGGTGTGTTTCTAAGTGTTCTCTGCAAGCAGGTGTGTTTCTAAGTGTTCTCTGCAAGCAGGTGTGTTTCTAAGTGTTCTCTGCAAGCAGGTGTGTTTCTAAGTGTTCTCTCCATACAGGTGTGTTTCTAAGTGTTCTCTGTGTTTCTTCTATCATGAACTTCCTTGATCTGAAACAGGCAACTGACATCAAAAGAAAACTATTTAGTACAGTATTTTTATTAGCTTTATGCTACCAGCACAAACAAGGACATGAACAACACCCTAAAAACAAATTTACACAAATTACACTGAAACAATAGAAATAAAGTGCCCCATATCTAATGCGCCCGACTGTATAATTGCAAACTCATGAATCCAGCCAGTTATATTCTTCTTCTTCTTCTTCTTCTTGTGTTCGCTTTCTGATTTACACCGACAGACAGGTTCCTGTGATAAACTTGACTGTTTTAATGAGTTCATTTTTAGTCCCATACAACTTTGTGTACAGTGGTGACTCACTGGGCCAGTATTCCTTTCTTAATGGGCTGAACAAGGGACAGTCTTGCAGGACATGTTCTGTAGTCTGCACACACAGCCCACAAGGGCAAAAAGGTGAACTACTCAGACGAAGCCTGTGCATATGCTGGTTAAGTTTGTTATGTCCTGTCCTGAGACGTAGGACAATGACCTGCCCATGCCGGTCAAGTAAGTGGTAGTCATCTCTGGCCAGACTCTGTTCACTTCTGATAGCCTGGATGGCCCTTTTCTTCTCATAGTATGGCCAGTTATATTGAAAGTAGCCCTTTTCAGGACCCCCAAAACATCCAAATTATCTTTCCACGATTGTCTCGATGGTCTTTTTGCCTCGCACAGATGCTACTAATTGTAGAAAATTTATAGCGACTGCTGGAATGAAAGGCAAACAAAGATGAAGACTGCTGCAACAAGAGGCGGCAAAGATGAAGACTGCTGACGCGCGGTAAACACACGTCATAAGAGGCGCTAAGCTTGGGCTTTTGTAATGCGCTCTAGAAATAGGAAAAACCCCAACACCTGGAAATTATTTGACTGTCTCCCATGACGTCATGAGGTAAGTAAAAAATATACACAAAGTTGCAGTTTGTCCACAAGTTGTATTTCCCACATTATATCATACTATTTTGGGAACTCCAGGATTTCCTTTGTCTGGGTGTGAATTAAAACTGAAATACCCAGTGCAGGTGCAGAACAGGCGGCTATCCTCCGAATAACGGTTGTAAATTATCGGGGCAGAAAAATACTCTAACAGCAACCTCCGCCACCGCCAAGAGTGTCCCCCACGCCGCCCGAAAATATACACTAACAGGGTCTCAGTCACATGAGAATTGCTGTCCTCTTCCGGTGACTACACAGCATACCGCCGAGAGTATCTCCCACGCTGCTACGCGCGGCACAGAGCGGGGCTAAACTAGATGGCTGGGACTCACTAGCAAATAAAATGGAGGAAGCTGCATGAGATGCGGTAGCTGTGCGGGAGATACTCTCGGCAGTGACTTTAACTCGGCAGCTGCTTTTTTTGCGGTATGCTATGTAGTCGCCGACAGAGGTCCGCAATTTACATGTGACTGAAGCCCTGTTAGGGTATTTTTTCGGCCTCCATAATTAAAAACCGACATTGTGATACAGTGGACCTGACTTCCAAAACAAAGTGACCAGAAAGGTGGGTTTATGCCTTCTTTAAAGAGTTTAAAAAAATTAGGAACATAAGAAACTAGCAAACATATTATGTCTGGCACTGCAATAAGGTAAACATAATATTCTGGTACTGCACCAAGGTAAACATAATATGTCTGGCACTGCACCATGGTAAACATAATATTTCTGGCACTGCACCAAGGTAAACATAATATGTCTGGCACTGCACCAAGATAACATAATATGTCTGGCACTGCACCAAGGTAAACATAACATGTCTGGCACTGCACCAAGGTAAACATAATATTTCTGAAACTGCAATAAGTTAAACATAATATGTCTCGTACTGCACCAAGGTAAACATAATATTTCTGGCACTGCACCAAGGTAAACATAATATTTCTGGCACTGCACCAGGGTAAACATAATATGTCTGGCACTGCACCAAGGTAAACATAATATGTCTGGCACTGCACCAAGGTAAACATAATATGTCTGGCACTGCACCAAGGTAAACATAATATTTCTGGCACTGCACCAAGGTAAACATAATATGTCTGGCACTGCACCAAGGTAAACATAATATGTCTGGCACTGCACCAAGGTAAATAAAATATGTCTGGCGGCTATCCTCCGAATAAAGGTTTCAAATTATCGAGGCTAAGATGATACCTTAACAGGGCCTCAGTCATATGTAAATTGTGAAACTCTTTCCAGCGACTACACCGCATACCGCGGAAAAGCTTCTGCCAAGTTAAAGTCACCGCCGAGAGTATCTCCCACGCCGAGGGGGGCTTAACTAGATGGCTGGGACTCACAAGCAGCAGCTACCGCATCTCCTGCAGCTTCCTCCATTTTATTTGCTCATAATATAAGAAAAACAGGCGCTTCTTTGATTTATTCCCCAAAATGGCGGCATGCCACATTCTGGCCAAAAAATATCCAAAATTATCCGAACGACGGTGTTCCCGTATATCTAAAATACGGACTGTCTGCCAAGGGACAAATAATCGCGGCAACACTAGGATTACTTGACAATCACTATCAACATTGCACACGGTACTAGTAGCAGACGATAAATATCGACCGTTGACAAAAATTTCGAGCGTTTCTGCAGACGACGATACTAGCAGACGATATTAGCGACCGTTGATCAATTTCGAGACATTACAGATGATGAAAACGATTAGCAATACTGTGTTCTTCCGATTGGAGGATTTAGCAGCGGTAGATGTCAGACTTGTCGGCATGCGCCAAACGCGATTAAATTCATCGCCGAGCATATATAGGTGCCTGGGACTCACAAGTACAGTAATTGGAGGAAGTTGCAGGAGATGCGGTAGTTCCCGCTCGTGAGTCCCAGCCATCTAGTTTAGCCCCCATCCGCGCCGCGCGTAGCGGGGGATACGCTCGGCGGTGAGGCACACTAGCAGAAGCAGGTCGGCAAGCACCGTATCGCTGAGACCCTGTCAGAGCATTTGTTTCGTTATCCGGAGCCGGCACATATATTTTTAAATAGAACTGATCCGCATTCGGATATTTTTGGATATTTTATGGCAAGAAATTGGCCAATTTAGCTCTCTTTCGAACGCCATCATATTAAAGCAGCCATTTTGGGGAACGATTCAAAGAAGCGCCGAAAAACAAAATATATGCCTAGAAATGCACCAAAGTAAACACAATATGCCTGGCACTACACCAAAGTAAACATAATAATATTATGTATGCAGCTTTTTAATTTAAATTAAAACAAATTCAATTATCAATTAATGAATTATTCAAATAATGTGCAAGTGCAATATTTAACTATACTATTAGTAGTATTAGTATTAGTATTACTACTTAAACTAACTTCACAAACTCAAACAGTACACGCATATTAATAAAAACGTTAAAATAATGCTACCCGTTTACACAGTTGAACACTTTAACTTTCTTTCAATTTGAAATCAAGCGACTGTTTGTTTTCAAACAATATATAAACAATAAATATGCGTCTTGCATAACTACAGTTTACTAACCGAATGCAAATACGAATTTAGAGACGTTTTCGCCATTTTGAAAACAAACTTAGGGTGATGTCCCTTAGCTTGATCTTCTGTTCCGTGACAGGGGTGAATGGCACTGTCCATGTCAACACTTGGTTCTGCCGTCAGAATTCTTGAACCTATTTAGGACTTTAAGAAACCTTTCTATCCATCATTACAGAAGTTTGAACCAGAAAACTGTAACATTACTTTATCAACAAAAATCCACAAATATACCCTGGCTTGTCAACTGGATAGCAGCTGTCCTGCATGCACGTATGGTTGCCCTTTATCTGGTTACATGGACCTCAGAACGATATAATATCGCCGTGGTACTACCCCAATAAGCGTCTGTGGATTAGGCGTTGCAAACGCGCTTCGTAATGCCGGGGTGCCGGGTTCAAACCCAGCTGGGGGCCATGGGCCTTGCGTTGGTTTCGACAGTGGTATCGAGAAGCCGACCGTCCAGTAGAAATGGCAAACTACTTGACATAAATTTGCCTACAAAAACCACACCAGCCAAAAAATGCTGGGGTTGGTTCTGCAACGTTATGAAAAGGATACGCAACTAACTACCAGGGTTGTGCCATCTCGTCAGTGCTTTTCAATGTGTATATAAGCAAGATTGCTGAATTTTGAAGCACCAGATGTGGAAGGATATTGACCTTTGATTTTCTTACATACAGGTAGGGAAGTGATAGGAAACAGACAGCCCAAGCGCAACAGGTAACTAACTTTAGACATAAAGTGACTGACTGGTGTGCAGAGATGGGCGCTGTCATCAGCTCATAAAATGGCGACTGTTTTATGTTGCTGTCTGGGGAATAGAATTGTACAAGCTAATGTTCTAAGCAGAACAATTAATTACAGAAACACCAATAACCAAAGAGTTTGAAGTCGTCAAGGTAAGACTCGTGATGATGCTGCGCAAGTCTTCATACCCCATAGTGGCCGCTGTCCAGGCAACTCTAAAGAGTAAGACAGATAAGTAATGGAAGGTTAAAGATGCGATAGAATCTGCCCAGAACGCACTAAAATTGCGAGAAGTCATGTTTTACACACAAACCGACCGAGGCGGCTCAGGGCAAGTACAAGTCACGCCTTGGTGAAAGAACGTAGAGAAATGGTAACATAGCATACCAGAGACTCCGAAAGTCAAAAGAGCAGCCCAGCAGTGGCAGCAAAGTTGTGGATCGGCATCAAGAGCGCCTTGTCACGAACACTCACATGGGATGAGATCTGGCGAATGGCCCGGCTGCTGCTGAGCTTAGTCATAAGATCTGTTAACGATGTGTTACTCTATGACGTTTGCGACCATGTCCTCTACGCTGAGCTAAGCAGACGCTCGAGCACGTATTGTTCGCGTGCAGAAAAGCCTTAGGTCAGGGACGATATACATTGCGCCACAATAAAGTCCTAAAAGAGTTAACGGACATTTTGGAAAAAGCCAGGATGAGAGCCAAAGCTAGAGCCAGTCCTACTATTCCCCCCCCCCCCCCCCCCCCCCCCCCCAAGCGCTTCCTCAAGGCTATGCAGATATCTTAAGATAAAGTCAACAAGGTCGCATACGCTCCATCAATACTTGACTGTGCAAGGAACTGGTTACTGGCGGTTAACCTGCATGGTTTCCAGAAATACCCTGAAGCAATCCGAAAGACTGGGCTGAGACCAGACATTGTTCTGCAGTCTGCGGTAGAACGCCAGCTCATCCGGATAGAGCTTAACGTGTCGTACGAGTTGCGGATGGAAGAAAATCCTATGTACAAGCTCAAAAAAAAAACAAAAAAACAACAACAACAACAACAACAACAGTGAATTGGTGGCCAGTCTGATGAGCGATGAGGGGTACTCAGTAAAGCTCTTCGCTGTCGAGGTAGGCGCAAGAGAGCTAATCCCTACCCGCACATACAGTGTACTAAAGCAGCTGGGCTTGCAAGGTAAAAAACGAAACCGGGCATTAAATAACTGGATGAAGCTGCGGAAAGAGCTTCGAGCTAGCTATGGATACAACCGAACGTCGTAGGCGATGGGCCTTGGTAGACTGGTCTGAGCATCTAGTGGATAAGAACTTTTAAATTCCTAAAGCCAAAGTTGCATGATGAAAGTCTGCCGGTGTCTCTCTGCTAGTTGCAAAGTCTAACGTCTATCCGATGAACCAACAGTAAACTTGTCACTCTGGTCGTGAAGGTAGACGCTTAATTTGCTACTACAGAGACAATATACATCACCAAACGTCAATACCAAACCCAGCAGAAGATGTCTGTGGCCTGACGTCATGAACCAGGCCATCCTACCCTCTGTCTAACAGCATAAATGGCCGAAACTATTGTCGACTAGGAACCAGCCTACTGGTAATCTGGTAATTTTAATTTCAGCTTCATAGCAAACGGGTTACCCCATCTTTGCTCCGCTCCTGGGCCAACGAAAAACACACAGAATGTTTATCACAGCCCCTTGTGGAAAGACTGACAAACTGCTCTCTCAGCAAATCTAGCATACACTCGCATTAAAAGCATATGGTAGCCATCCGAAGTGCTAACACAAACAGTCCAACGTTAGAAATGCAGTTCATCATTGATGGTAGCAGAAGTCATTAAAAGATCAGCAGTTGCACACGCGATCAATGTTAATCAAATAATGGCCCCACCAATATTGCCACAACAGGCATTGCGCCATTTTCTGAATCTACAAATCACACCACCACGTTGGTCAGTCGAAAAACATTCCAAATGAAATCTGCAGCTCACAGTGTCACGCCATGCACTCAACTCAGAGGCTGGGCAACGAAACTATATACTTCCAGTCTACAAATGGAGCAAAAAAGCAACGGCCACAGTCTGGCAGAAGCAACAATTTTTGCCTCGGCTCAAAACAGTGGTAGTGCCTAGTGTTCATTTGGACCGGAAGCATTATGTGAGGGTTAATAAACTGTCACCCCAGCAGTGCCCTACTATTAGCTGGGGAAGGGATTTAGGACATTAGTCACAGTTACGATGGTTTGGACATGTGTGCAGAATGGGAGAAAATCGGCCACCATGGCAAGCATGGGAGGCTAAGAACCAGGGAACCAGACCTCCGGGACGACCCAGGGTGCGCTGGGAAGACAACATCCGACAGTCCCTGACTGACAGAGGACTGGAATGGAACAAAGCCAGAAAGAAAACTGCTGATAGAGACGTCTGGCGATCTCTCTGGCAAACCTCTACACCCCAAGGTAGAAGAGGAGCGACTAAGTAAGTAAGTAAGTACATCCACCAGCAAGCGTCTCCCCAACAACGACCTGACTGCCTTCGTTAACGACTGTTCACCCAATAGCCATGCAGTTCTTTGGCACGAAGGAGACACCTTGAACTTGGGTTTCGGACTGCCGACTCCCTACACGAAGATAATGTGTGCTACTGGTGTCCCGTAGCCAAAATACTATATCACTGTTTTACTAAAATTCAGCACGCATTCTCAAACGCGCATTAGTTGAAGAAAACACACACACACACACACATACACACATACACACACACACACAGACACACACACAGACACACAGACAGACAGACACACAGACAGACACAGACAGACAGACAGACAGACAGACAGACAGACAGACAGACAGACACTCATTACCTGCCACCCGCTTGCTTGCTGGTGCAGCACACATGACTACATATTTATATAAGTATATATAGTCATGTGTGCTACACCAGAAAGCAAGCAGGTGGCAGGTAATGAGTGTATGTATATGTATGTGTGTGTGTGTGTGTGTGTGTGTGTGTGTGTGTGTGTTTTCTTTATCTACTACGCGTTTAAGAATGCGTGCTGAATTTTACTAAAATATATTTATATCGGGAGAGGGATAGAGTGAGACAAGGAAAGAATCATGCCGAATGATCACAAATATGTAAGACACTGACACAGGGAATTCCTTATGCACACAAGGTCGGCATGATTGGCTCCAAGAAGGGGACAGTAAATTCAAATGGCTCAGTCAGATCAGACACAGTCCTTGCTGTGACAGAAAGTTGGCTGTAATAAAGGACTGTCGTAGAAAGGTGCACCCAAGGGACGGTTTCAGAAAGAGATGCATACTTTGTGGTAGGGTAACATTGCTTGAACAATGTATTCTGCAAGCCACCAGGGGTTGCATTCACATTTTCTAGATTCTAACAATAGTAATACACTAGCGATGACTAATAATAATCATTAACAGCTCAGCCAATACATACATAAATCGGCGTAGACAGAAAGAGAGAGAGAGAGAGAGAGAGAGATGGGGAGAGAGGGAGAGGGAGAGGGGGGGGGGTGTGATCACCGCGTAACTAATTACAGCAAAAGTATAGCGTTCATTGAGTCTTCTGTTTCGACATCCAAACGTGCGTGCTGTGTCTCTAGGTTCATTTCTAGGTGGCCACGTGGTCACAGATGGAACTGTTGTAGCAGGGTAGAGCCGTGTGAACTTGAATCCTGCAGGTAAATTAGGTGCTTAGAGAATGTGGTGTTCTCAAGTGTATCTGGTGTAGCCTGATGAGATGTCATCGTGAAGAAAGGTGAAATATTCAAAAGAAGAGAATTTCGAGTGTCTGTAATTATTTCTTCTTCCATTCGTGAACCCACCTGTGTCAGAACAAATGTTGCTCCATTAAATGGCGTCTAGGTGTCCGAGGGAACGGGGCGTATATTGTTTGATGACCTGGTGTAGCGTCGTTCAGTCAGTTTCATGCTCCACGTTTCCCTCGTATAAGATTTATTGTCCTTTCTCTGTCTCACACAGATAGTAGCGGGCACGTCGCCTTTACAAGCTGTTGGAAATACCGCGCGTATAATGTTCTACGTTGTATCATTAGAGAATGGGGTGGCCCGGATGCCTATAGTTCAGTGTGCAAGTCCAGCTTCTAACATTTTGTCTTTCTCTTCTTTTCCGTAGCATTACCATCTTTTAAAACTGTCCAGTTCTATTGTTGACCCACATGTTCCGTTTTTATAGTGTGACACTTGCGGGACGTCTCTCTGTTAGCCAGTGTTCTGGGTGGTGATAA